ATTGCTGCCAACTTTCTTTTCGAAATTTCTATTGTCTTCCTCTATCCTCAACCGAACAATCAAGTCTTCAAGTGACAACTCCTTTCTCTTGTGTTTGAGATAATTCTTGAAATCTCTCCAGGATGGTGGCAATTTTTCAATGAATGCAGCCACTTGAAATGTCTCGCTTAGAGTCATTCCTTCAAAGATGAATATCATGCATAATCACTTGAAGCTCTTGAACCCGACTTAAGACGGTCTTTGAATCAACCATCTTGAAGTCCAGAAATTTACCGACAATGAATTTCTTCAATCCGGCATCTTCGGTTTTGTATTTCTTGTCCAGACTATCCCATAACTCTTTAGCCGTTTTTAGCGGACTATGTACGTTATAGAGAGTATTGTCCAGACCGTTGAGGACATAGTTGCGACACAGGAAGTCAGAATGATTCCATGCATCCACAGCAGCAAGCTTTTCTTTATTTGTCTCTCCAACGTCCAATTTAGGACCATCCTCATTGAGGAATCTAGCCAAGTTCAAGGTCGTGAGATAGAACAACATCTTTTGTTGCCATCTCTTGAAATCCGTACCATTGAACTTTTCTGGCTTTTCTCCGTGATTCGGAATAGGATTAACCGAAGTCGAAGCCGAAGCCATTTCTGAATTATAAACACATACCATATTCACGAACAGAATTGAAAATTTCTAATATGAACAGTATTCGAAAAATTTGTTAACGAACGGAATGTGCAAACGTAATCGTATTCTATACGACTATGACAAGGAACATACGAACTATACAAAAGTTCGAATTAAAGAAACGGCAATATGATATTTGATAGAAAAACTCAATGGACAACGCATAAGAATATACGAACAGAACCGAAGTCAAAATTCGTCTTAAGATTGTAGTTCGGCTAAGTTCGTATATCAGAAATTAAAATCAAGCGTTAGGAAAACTAACCTGAAAGCAGTACAACCAAATAAGCAGAATGTTGATCCGAGCCCAACGAATTAACGTCGTGTCCTTAAGACGAATTTGGCCCCTCAATCAGTACCCGAGGATATTGGACAATCGTCTCCCAGGATAGAACGGATCTCGTTCCTCCGAAACGGTACGTATTCGGAGGACTCCAACGAACGCAATTTTGCAGAACAATCGCACGAAATGACAATGATGAAGAATGAGAGTGCAGCAGAATGCCGCGAAAATATTAAATGCCAAGAGCACTTCGTTCGGTCATGTATGAATGAATAGTCATGAAGGAATTTTGGATATAGAAGGATGAAACCGAAGAGTCACCAACCGAACCGAGCCGGCCGGCCGGACGGACGGCGGCGGCGCGCGCGCGGGGGGTGGATCGACCTAGCTTGACGTAGGTCCTCTCTCTTCCACAAAAGTGGGGTACCCCTTGGGGCCCAAACCCATTTGTGAGGCTCAACTATTTGAACCCATCTCCCATCTCTCTTCTACCCTATGTGGGACACTTTCACCCACACACTTCTCATTCAATTCTATGGGATTTTGGTTCCAAAATCCCAACAGGTATATCTCCCTTGCTATCTCTCAATAAGATCAAATAATTACTTGAAACCTCAAGTACGGAATACCATCTACTTTCTTGAACTCCCTACAAACTGTTGCCCAAGCAGCAGCTGTCTACCTAGAACTAAGGCAAGGTTTAGCTCCATTGGACTTCTAAAACTTTTCTATTGAGTATTATGACTGTCAAATTATTAGTCTCCACTTCTGCTTTGCCTGCCTTTTCAGAAAAAGATAAACCATCGTGCAAGCTATTGTATGTAACTCCTGAAAGGATTGTGGGAAACCCATCATTTCTTGATATTGAAATGGATTGTTTCTGATGCACCATAACTTTTTCTAGAAGGTTTTGTATTCGACCATCATATTACAGGCACAACTAGCTGGTTTTGTTGTTGATGAGGCACATTGCGTGAGGTATTTGTAATCTTTGGCATGCCTTGTACATGAAGAAAGATCATGCTAGAGTTACTTCAAAAAGAATAATTATTTGTGATGTTGCCACTGCAAAACTATTGTCCTTGTTCCTGATAAATATAAGCAAGTTAACTTTTATATATGCTAATTTAAACTCATTTTCAAACTCTTTTGCACTTTCTGTGTTCTAGCCTAACTAAATTGTCAGTGTTCCACTAGACCTTCTGAAGCCTAGACCCCTCTGAAGTTCTAATATAACAGAATGCAGTTTTCCACGCCCTAAACGTGAGAAAATGAGGAAAGTGTTTTCCCGGAAAATATTTTCCATGAAACAAATGTAGCCTTAGTGGCACATCGTTCATTATATTGAGTAAAGAGCACACAACTTAAATAAGCTCCAATGGAAATTACTTCCTAAAGTAATTGGAACCGGCATAAGCTTGGATAAGGATCCAATCTCCTGTCTATGTTTGGCAGGATAGTCTCTTAAGCTGGTTCTTGTGTCCCTATTTATTCTATTAACGCTTATACTTAATGTTAACAACTTGAGAAAGGCAAAGGTTCACCCATGTGATCATTGATTGTGTTTCTTACAAGGTCTTAACTGGATTTGCTCTGCCAGTGTGATCTCATGAAAGGAACATACTGCTAGTTTGAGCTTTTCTAGTACATTTGACTGATTAACGAGTAAAGCTCATTGATTGTCACTTTTGTGGTTGTCATTATTGTTGTCTATGGGGACATGATTTTCGTCCAGATTATAGGGGACTGTGATGTCTCGAGCAGAACTTTCCGTATGTCCCAGTGATGGCCTTAACTGCAACTGCCACTCACTCAGTTCGTGAGGTACTAAACTTACACATTAACCTCCTGATTATGTTGAAATAATCTGTTTGTTCTGACTGAATTATACATCCATTGTAGGATATCCTAAAAGCTCTTGGGGTTCCCCATGCTCTTGTTCTTGAGACAAGCTTTGACAGACCAAATCTAAAATATGAGGTGATAGCTAAGACCAAGGAACCACTGAAGCAGCTTGGAGAGCTGCTGAAGAATCGTTTTGCTAATTTTCGTGGCATAGAATATTGCCTTTCGAAGAGTGAATGTGTTGATGTTGCAAAATACTTGAACGAGAAGTGCCGTATAAAGATGGTGTACTATCATGCTAGATTAGCAGCCCGTCAAAGAGTAGCTGTTCAAAAGAAATGGCATACTGGAGAGGTCCAGATTGGATGTGCTACCATTGCCTTTGGGATGGGAATAGACAAACCTGATGTTGTAAGCCAAAATGGACTCTGCCCTTTGCCTATTTCCTATGTTTTAAAATCAAGCTGACATGCTGGCAAATACTCAGCTAATCAACTTTTCTTCTAATGTTTTAGCTTCACCGATGGGTTTCGTAGTGTGCTTGAAAGTACACTTCGCTGGTTCCATAGTCCAGTGGCCTACTAAATTTTGTCATTCTTGGCTATTGATTGCAGAAACTAGTGAATTATGTATTGGTTCAAGTCAAGTTCTTTCTACCACGCATGGAACTTTGCTGTACTGTAATTAAGTTAGATTTGGTTAAAGTTCTTTTCTTTAAGGTAAAAGTGGCAAATGACTCCGATCTAAAATGTCGTTTCTGTTCAACATGTGGCAGTGTCTGATCCTAAACCAAAGGAAACACATGAATTATGCTTGACATCTTGAATTCCATAATTCTTTCTTTGTTTTTCGGAGATGCGCACCGAAGTCAAACGATGTGTCTTTTCTCTTTCTTTCCTGGCAAGAGAAAAGCGTTGTTATTGATTAAGAAAAATGGCATGATAACCTCTAAATTTCAATTCGATTGCAATGTCATGTTGGACTCTTGATATAGTTTTGAACTATTCATAAATATTTAATGTAAAATTTTCTTTTAATCAAATAAGGAAAAAGTCATCACAAGTCCCCGAATCATTGCCAAATGTGCAATCTAGTCCTTAATTTTTTTCTTTTTGTGATTGATGCTATCGGATCGGACCGTATCTTCTTAAATTTTTTTATTTATGATGAGGTAGGTAATTTATATGGACCCGATCTTTTCCTAAAGCTGGAAAATCATTTTGTGCACCTCACTCCTACGAAACATTATTAGTTTCAACATGATATTTCAACAAATTTTTTAGCAAGAAAGAACATACAAAGTAACAACAATAACCAAAGAATTAATCCCATTAGCTTTGGAAAGCAAAACCTTTTCCTTGACACTTTCTAATAGGGGTGAGCAACACGGATTGTCTAAACCGGGAGCCACTTGGATCGGTCAGTTCTAGGTGATTCCCGAGGGCGTCAATCCAGTTCCTGGTTTCATAAAATTGGAACTGGTGATTTTTGGTCCGGTCCCTAGTTCTAAGGGAGAATTGGATCGACATGACTGCCCGGATCAAACTGATGATTTTTTAATTTTTTATTTCTCACTCAAATTTCTTACCCTTCCCTTTTCACATGTCCTGCTCGAATCTACTTCGTTGTCTATCTTTGTCCTCTATGTTCGGTAAGCCGCTCATAAAATTAACCACTATGAATAATCTTTAAACTCTCAAACGAGTACACACCAACCAATTAGTATCATAATGGGTTCGTGATGTGATCAAAGTTATAAAATTCTTATTAAAAAGGAGTAGTTTGGGTTTTCAATATTTAAACACAGATATATGCGAGGGGTTGTATCAGTCCGGTCCCCAGTTCTAGAAATTGGGAACCGATCCTTATGATCCAGTTCTCAATTTTTGGGTGAAATCGGACTGAAACGGGAAGCGATCACCTTACTTTCTAACAGGACAACAAAAGACACCAGCAAGAGGCAAAAAGGAAAGGGAAATAGCAACTTTTCTCCAATTTAAGCAGGCTTAACCCAGGTCCAAAAAACTGACCAAAAAAAGAAAAAACCCAGGTCCAAAAAAAAAAAAAAGCCTTAACCCACAAGACTGACACGTGGCGGTCTGACATAGCACTTTGACTCTTTGAAAAAAAGACAAAAAAAAAATGCTTGTTTAACGGCAAGATGGCTGTCTCTTTTCCTCTCAGATTTTAATGCACAAAAAACCAGTCAATCTCTCTCTCCCTCTCTCTCTTTATTCTTCTTTTGGGCACAAATTTCCATTTCACTTTTTTATTTTTCATTTTATTTTTTTTCGCCATTTCTAAACGCTCGAGCTCCTCGCATCCTGTCTCCTGTCTTCTACTCTTCTTCCTCCTCCTCCTCATCGTCTTCATCTCGCCAGCTCTCTCTCTCTCATCGGCGTCAAGTTCGCCGAGCGATTCCATAGCCTGCAGACGGCCGACTCTCGTCGTTTTTCCTGTTTCCACGCACGTCTCGCCTGCGATGCCGGTTCAGATCCCTAATGTCGATAAACTCGATGCGTAACTCAGCGTCGCCCGTTGCAATTTATCATTGCGTTCGGCGGGAGGTAAGTGCGAATCTCGAGTAGCTCGCGTGAAAATTCGTGATTTTGTTTTTGTTTGTGCGCGCGCTACTGTTCTGTTCGCACGTGAATCTCGAGCGCGCGCTCTCTCTCTCTCGCGAGAGACTGCGGATCGATTTGATTCCGGCTGGGGCATCACCGATCGATCGACCGAATCGCTCGAGCAGGTTCAAATTCCATGGTGGAGGAGCGGGGGCCTTGGAGGTAGAGAAAATTTGTCTGATCTGTTGATGATGATGGCTATGGAATGGTAGTCTTTCCTTTTGGATTTGAATGGGAACGCAGCTGACTGAACTTTTTAGTTCATGGAGCTGTGATTGAAATTGTCTGATCCGTTCTTCTCTCCTCTCCTCTTTTTCAGTAAGCCTTGGGAGTTGGGAAGCGAAACTTCTTCCGTCCTTTCGAAACTTTTCACGGTTATTGTTGCAGTTATTTATAGGGTCTCGATGTAAATTGTGAACGAACTTTCGTAATGAAGCTCAAAACAAATCGCTAGCAGCATGAGTGGAAGAAAAAAGGGGAAAAAAAGCCACTCAATCGGGTTGACCCGTTCATCCAATTTTTCCGGTCGATTCACGATTGTCCAACTTGAAATCATTTCAGTCGATGAGGCCATGACTAATGCCGTATATGCAATCAAGCACAAAGCCATTGCCCTTTGGATTAGATGCCTAGGCACTGGTGAAGCAACTAAAGAATCAACTTGCACAATCAAATACGTTGACTTTACTTGCCACTTTTTGTGTGCTATTTCTAATCAATATTATGAAAAGCAAGTTATTTCATGCTAAGGATGTTTAACAAGTGATTTAACTCGTTAACATGGCCCTCATTATATATGCTTTAGTACTAAAAGAGAGACAACAAACTTATCAGATTATGAGTACCTTGTGAGTAGCTTTTGTCTATTAAAATTCCGTTAGTGTAAATCCAGTTCATGGTAGGAGAATATTTGAGAATGACCCCAAAAAAATTGCTTCGATTGAAACTCGAATGCATGTCCGATGACCACAATTTGGCATAGCAAAGCCAAAGAATTAACCAATTAGATGACCCTTCGAAGTTTTCATTCAAACCAAATGAGTACAAATTCTAGGAGGAGCTAATTTCACCCTTCCACTGTAGCCAAACGCCAAAGAAAATTTGGTTTCAAGTGATGGAAAATGTATGGCTATGCTTCTTTTGCTTTATAGATTCATGCGTAAATTAATCAAGTTTGAAAATTCGAAAATTATACGATTGAAGTGATTGCAAAATGCCAATATATAAATTTTTCCAACATAACCAGATCAAAGAGATGATTGTATGCTGATGAACACTCCTATTTTGCGTTCAAAATTCTTCCAAATGAGAAACTTCCGTCATATTGGAAACCTTTTCGTTGAAACTCTTGGCTGCAATTGACATATTATTTGCTGATTCCATAACATTCGCTTTTTCCATGAAAAAGTCTCTTCCAGTCACAAGGGACATCTAAATGGTAATCTTGTTACAAAAAAAAATTAATTTTACGCTTAAATTCACATACAGAACCACCTGCACGGCTTCTACAAGCATTTTGAGATTCGGCCAAAGCCAAAGAATAGCACGATTCAAAGCTTGCAAACGACGACTACACACCATGAGAAGAGGTCATTTTATGTCAAGAGTTCTATGAAGAATGTTAACAATACACGGCACATGATAAAAGACAATATTGAAGTAACTTTGGAACACCATGACGTGGCTCATGCCAGCCCGCATCTCCATCCTGTGGTGTTTGGAGACTTTATCTGAATATCATGAAATGCAGCTTGATTCTACCCAAGAAGGATGGGATTAACTAATTGTCAATAAATGGAGATATTTGAGATTGTAGCACAACAATTTACCCCATGAAGGATAAGGTACAAATGCATAAACATCATTTTTTGGGAATTAGCCCAATGGAAAATCTTCTATTTCAAACATAAAAAAAAAAGAAAAAAATATTGTAGAGGATGTCTTTTTCCTGCTCAACATGATTGAACTCCATCCTCTCCAATGCTCTTGGATTTGATTGTGTGACAACTGCAGCATGACTAATTTTGGTAGATGCAAATTTGTTACCGAAAAAGACAGATGGGGCTCAATGTCAAACCACTAAACCCATCTTAATTTAGAAAACAATTTGTTAGAGTCTCTACTTAAAACTGCCCACTTCAATTGTAGCATAATTTTCAGAGATGATAGGGCAACAAAACATAGACCATATGATTGCATCAAGGAGCCGTGCCCTTCGCCAACAGGGAGGCTGTTATCATCCTCGAACACAAACATTGGTACAGTTCCTTCATTTATGAGATTGTTTTTTTTTTATAATCGAGGTGTCCGCGCGGCCGGCGAGCTAGGGCTCAAACCGGCGGTGATGCCCGACTAGTCCTCGAGGGGGGCTAGCGCAGCATCCCACCGCCACGACCCCCCACTTAAATTACCGATGGGCGAGTTTTGAACCCAGGACCTCTCGTGAAAGGAACTGAGCGCAAACCAACGCGGCCACCAATGGGTGGGTTTCATTTATGAGATTGTTGTAGCCTTTTAAGCTCAAGAATACGTCATAGGGATTACTTCCCACTCCTATTGGTGCTGGAGAGATGAACCTAAATGTAGATGCTCTGCCATTGCTCCTATTTTCTGCATGTGTATTGCTTCCACTCTTTTTCCTCGTCTTGAGAAGATTATAAGCGAACACCAAAGGAAGAATTGGCGCAACAAGCACCACAAAAGATAGCCCCGAAATGAACTGATGCACTCCGTTATTTGCTTTGATGTGGCTCTTCCCCTTATCCATGGAAGCCTTGATAGCAAATAGAAAAAAAAATGCCTTCCTGTAGAGCACAAAAAAAAAAAAAAAGGTTAACGTATGAATTGGACTTATGCATCAACTTGAAAAGATCAACACCACATGCTCAGAGAACGAGTTGGACACATTACAATATATGAACATCAACTAACTAGTCTTCATATGGAGGTATTTCCCAATTACCAGTACTTCATGTAGAGCCGATACTATCACATACTTGTTCTCCACTCGATTGCAACACTCAAAAATCGAAACTAGATCGAGTATTGCTTTCTCTACTCAAGCTCGGCTCGATTGCAAAAGTCGAAATATTCAGGCTCAACTCGACTCCATCCTCATAAGGAAGTAGTGTTTTCTTTTTCGCCAAACAGTGTGGTAGGTTTGGAAATCTATTTTTCCAAATTATCTGATGTTCGTTCTAGTGAAATGTGTACATAAATAAAGGTAAAAATGTAAATTAAGATAGGTATTACTCTGTCAATTTGCTGATTCACAGCAATAGAGAAAAGAAATTGGAGATACTTCTCGTGGATCTATAACTTTAGCATGATATGCAAGTCCTCTATGTTCGGAAGGGGCCTTTACACATATCCCTATCTATCAAGGTCAAGAATGATTCAAACCCAGAAAAGAATAAAGTCAAAAAGGCTCTCACCAAATCAGATGAACATCAATTTCAACCCAATGACCTTTTTTTAAGAAATTTTTTTGCTAACGATGTGATCTCTAGTTTCTTAAAATACTCGATTGATGTTGATGTTTGTAACAGTTTTTATTTTTTTTTTTCAAATTTTGCAATTCTCATCTAGCTTTTTTAATGTGAAACATCAAAAGTTCTTCAAATTATGTAAATATTGATGTGTAGAGTGTAGAATCATACATAATAATTTAATGATTTTTTTAAACTTCAAATAATTATTTTTTCTGTTTCGATTTTTGAATAGAGGCACAATTAATGGATAATTTTTCATATTTCTTCCCATCAAACAAACAAGCCCAACTTCCCAAGGGTGTCAATCGAAACCAAGATGACTTACGAGGAAGGCCAAAATAGAACTTAAAACGAACTTCAGGTGCGAAAACGGAATTGTCAAAAGAATTAAAAAGGCAAGGGAAAAGCAATTAATTCGGCCATCGATGGCAAGATTTTTCGAAAGAGAGCACTTCAAAAAATGTACCTTTTATTGATTGAACAAGTCATTCTGATCTCTCTAGCAAATCAGTTCAAATTGCCCAACGAGGTTATATTATGGACAAACTCATTATGTAGATGTAACTGCTTCTATCAGTGATTTTTGCTGCATCTTTGGATAATCAGATGTACTGATTGAAATAAGTACTTGACATCTTTGCAGCTACTGGTCTATGGTGCTGGCCAAGTCATTCCATTTGCACTAAACATTTTGCGGCCAAACCTAAAAAGCACACTTTTAGTAAGTTTGAATTCTATTGTTCAGTATGGACGAGCGATCTTAGTCATGGATAAGAACTTCTGCATCGACAGTGCTGGAAATGCATTCATGAGGACAGCTAATTCAAGCTTTTGCGTGCATTCTGGTGAGTCTACGTTTCGGTGGTACTTCTGCCCAATCTTTGATGAAGTCTAGAAAAGGCTGGGCGAGGGTCGCAAGTTGCCGGCGAGGCGAGGTCCTTGCCCTGTGAGCTCGGAGTTACAAAAATGAGGAAAATCGAAAAGCCGCGGAAGCGAAAGTTCTTGTGTTCTTTCAAAACTTTCACAGTTATTGTTGCTATTATTTATAGGATCTTGATGTAAATTTTGAATAAACTTTCGAAACAAAGCTCTAAACAAATCGCTAGCATGAAATTGGCTCAATCGGTTTGACTCGTTCATCCAATTTTATTCGGTCGATTCACGGCCGTCCAACTTCAAATCATCTCAATCCATAAGGTCGTGACTAAAACACAAAGCCATTGCCCTTTGGATTAAATGCCTTGGCACTGGTTAAGTAACTAAGAAATCAAATTGCACAATCAAATACGTTGACTCTACTTGCCACTTTTTGTGTGTTAATCCTTATCAAAATTCTGAAAATTAAGTTATTTTACGCTAAGTATGTTTAACAAGTGACTTGACTCGTTAACATGGCCGGCATTATATATGGCTTCAGTACTAAAAAGTAGACAACAAGCTCATCAGACTACGAGTATACCTTGTGAGTAGCTTTTAACTACTAAAATTCCATTAGTGTAGTCCAGTTCATGGTAGGAGAATATCTGGGAGTGACCCCAAAGAAATTGCTTCGATTGAAACTCAAAATCATGTCCGATGACCACAATTTGGCGTAGCAGAGTCAAAGAAGTAACCAATTAGATGACCCTTCGAAGTTTTTCATTCAAACCAAATGAGTACAAATTCTGGGAGTAGCTATTTTCACCCTTCCACTATAGCCAAACTCCAAAGAAAATTCGATTTCAAGTACCGAAAATGTATGGCTGTGCCTCTTCTGCTTTATATATTCATGCGTAAATAAATCAAGTTTGAAAATTATACGACTGAAGTGATTGCAAAATGGCAATATATAAATTTTTCAGCATAACCAAATCAAGGAGATGATTGTAGGCTGATGAACACTTCTATTTTGTGTTCAAAATTCTTCCAAATGAGAAACTTCTGTCGTATTGAAAACCTTTTCGTTGGGACTCTTGGCTGCAATTGACATATTATGTGCTGGGTCCATAACATTTGCTTTTTCCATGAAAAAAGTCTCTTCCGGTCACAAGATTGTGGCTTGAAGTGGACATCTAAACGGTAATCTTGTTAACAAATTTGATTTTATGCTTGACTTCACATACAGAACCACCTGCACATGCGGCTTCTGCAAGCATTTTGACATTCGACCAAGCCAAAGAATAGCACGATTCAAAGCTTGCAAACGACAACTACACACCCTGAGAAGAGGTCGTTTAATGTCAATGATCCTATGGAGAGGGTTAACAATACGCAGCACATGATGAAAGAAAATATTGAAGTAACTTTGGAACACCATGACATGGCTCATGCCAGCCCGCATCTCCATCCTGTGGTGTTTGGAGACTTTCTCTTGAATTTCAAGAAATGCAGCTTGAATCTACACAAGAAGGATGGGATTAACTAATTGTCAATAATTGAAGAAATTTGAGACCGTAGCATCACAATTTACCCCATGAAAGATAAGGTACAAATGCATAAACATTATTTGCACCAATCGCAGTTGGACTGCAATGAACAGAGACTTTGTTAGCTGGCCAAGGAAAAAGGAAACAACAGGCTTCGGAGAAGTAAGCAATTAGCAACACTTTCCTTGTTTGTGTTTAGGAACAGAATTTTTGTTAATAAGATTATGCTGAAAGGGTGAAGTGCCTCAAAAGATGTAATTGTTGACTTGGTTATTTCGCAGTACCCAATTAGCAAAATCAGCAATACGCAAAAGTTTGCCAGGAGGTGAATTTTAATTTCACAAACTCAACATCGCATGCATGAGAACCGAGCTTATTAAATCAGAAACATATATGACAACATTCAAAGGATATTATCACACTAATAAACTTATAGAAAATCAAGGAGATTGTCATCATGCATCCTTGTATACTGATTTTCAGGTGAAATGTGCAGCTCCTATAGTATAAGCACACGAGTTAGTCTTTCATAGTTACGGTACGACTGGTAGTGCATACCTCCGTCTGCAGAGCGTCATCGAGATCGGAGTGATATCATTAGAAAGCAACTGCATCAAATAACTCTGCATCAAGGTAACATATAGAAAAATCAGCAAGTAGGTATTAGATTAATTAGAGATGTAAAACCTAATGAGGATACAAAAAGCAGATTCAATCTAGAAAACTACACTCGCAAGCATTTAGGAATGTACTATTGAGACTTGATCAGGTGTTTGGATGTTCACAAGCATCAAAACTTCCTCAGTACAATCCAGTTGGCCCACGAGCCTCTTCATGGTTGGCACGCAAGATGGTCGTCAGCCGTTGCTGATTCTTCCTCTGCAAAATCCCTCTTCATTTTGATTGGGCTCTGGTATGAAACTTGAAGTTCCTCTGCCAAGTTAGCCAGACCCAGATCAATGTTGTGAGAAAACGATTCCATGACAACAATAGGATCAAACGGGATGCAAACTAATTAGCAAATTCTTGAGCTCCTCCCCCCAGCTTGTTTCACAGAACGGGCAAAATATTGTCCCAATTATGTACAAGGTTATCGATACAACTCATTGAATCGAAGTCCAATAGTAAGCCTCAGTCATTACATAGACTAACCAGACCCATCACAAAAGCAACACCAGTTTGCCTTTGCATGATAATCTTTCAAAACAACAGCTTTGAGCTGGTCTACAATTATATATGACAGACTAGTCAGAATTACTTTTCATTTTTTTTTTATCACCAACCAGAGAAACTTGAAACTTGACTTTTATTTTAGCTCAGTTTCTCATACTTACTGGGAATTCATGCTCTGTCATGTAAGATTCAAGAGGAACATCAAGGGAACCATAAGAAACTTGACTGGGTTTTTGATCACCAGAGAAAATTGAAAGGTGTTTGTTATGAACAAGATATCTGTCACTAGCCAAATTTGACACACAAAAATACTCACAAAGGAACTCAAAATGGCCCAGGATTTTTTAACAAAAAATATGAATTTTGGACATAGGGAAAAATGGACTTTGGGAGCAGTTTATAATATTTAGTAGAAGATCATCGGCCTCTAGATGAAAGATTCAAATCCCGGGTTTATCGAGAGGGAAACTGTAAATCACTAGGGAATTCTTGTTTACCTATCTTTAATATTTTCATCCTTGCCTCACTAGCCGCTAATCTGTTTGCAGTCTACAAAAGCTGCCAATGGAAGGATAAATGAAAAACATTACTATAACGTAACCAACAGCAGTAATGTAGGCAAATCAGAGTTTCCAAAATCAATTAAATAGATACTCGGTGTGGAGAAAATCATTCTTAAAAAATAGAGCTTCGAGAAAAGTATTACTCTATTCGCTCAAGCTAGCCATTCAAGGACGAAGAATCTTACTAGAAGACCAATGCCTTCAATTGACATTTGGGTCTACATTTTGATCTTGGCTGAAGCATCATGTCAGCATCTATGACCAACTCCCCCACTCCTTCAATTATGTAAGACTAGCAATTTAGGAAAGTACAAAACCCTGTCATGGAAATCATTCTTGTCAAAAGAAGATAGTGATGAAAAGTATGTCACGAATCTCAGAAGAAAAATGATTGTTCACTTCTTATTTACCTCTGTTGAGGAAACATCAATCACTCTCTGTTCAGGAATCATCACTCCATGAGTCGTAAGATAGCTCTCGTTCATAATTTCTAAAGACGCATGTTCCGGATAATTTCGGTATTGCTTCCAATGAGTCACAACCAGAGATATCCAAATCAATTAAATCCAACTTTTCAAGTCCCCGAAGCTGAGTAAGTTTCTCGCAATCTTGAACTACTAGATATTGTAACCTCTCACATCCATTCAAATCTGGCAAAGTCTCCATTGATCCGCATCCTATAACATTCAACGCTTCTAAGAACTTCGCACCATCAAGACCTCGAATTTCGACTAGATTGTTGCACCAGGCAGCCACTAATTTCTTCAAACACGTTGATTCTGGACAGAGAAGCCTTTCAATGGAATTGCAATCATCTATAGATATGCCCTCCAAGAGCTCCAAATTTTCAAGGCCCTGAATTTCAACTAGGTTATCGCAATCCTCAGCACATAATCGTTTCAGACAAATTAACTGTGAAAGGTCCAGTCTTTCAATTGAACTGCACCTTTTTATTGAAAACATTTCCAAGTTCTTCAATCCGTCGAGCTTAAGCAATATCAGCTTACGACACTCCACAATATAGAGTTTCAAGAGTCTCGAGGGAAGTTCGGGGATGTCTTCAAGTAGATGGCATCCCCAAAGACGGAGTTTTTCTAGGTGGATTAGGCCAGAAAGCCGTGGCAGCGACCGAAGCTTGTCACAGTGACGCAGCTCAAGGCGCTGGAGAGAAGACAGATCCCCAATAGCATTGGGAAGCTTTTCAAGCCGAGAATAACTGATGTCCAAAAATTGCAAATTCTTTAAATCCCCAATTGAGCTAGGGATTTCTCTCAGTGACTCACACTTGTAGGCGTTCAGTGTCTTCAGCTTGCTCAGAGAACCAATAGACGTAGGGATCTCTGTAATACCAGATTCATCTAATACAAGTACTTCTAAATCTTTTAATTCGCCCACTTCCTTTGGTAGCTCCTTGAGACTCATACAGCCAATCAAGTCCAGATGTTGCAAATTATGTAAATCCCCAATTGAGCTAGGGATTTTTCTTAGTGACTTACAAGCGATGGCACTCAGTTTCTTCAGCTTCCTCAGAGAGCCAATAGACGTAGGGATCTCTATAAAACCAGATTCATTTAATAGAAGTTCTTCTAAATCTTTTAATTTGCCCACTTCCTCTGGTAGCTCCTTGAGACTTCTACAGTAACTCAAGTCCAGATGGTCCAAATCCGGTAAATCCCCAATTGAGCGAGGGATTTCTCTCAGTGACCTACAACCTTTGACACTCAGATTCTTCAGCTTCCTCAGAGAACCAATAGACGTAGGGATCTCTGTAATACTAGATTCATCTAATACAAGTACTTCTAAATCTTTTAATTCGCCCACTTCCTCCGGTAGCTCCTTGAGACTTCGACATTCACTCAAGTCTAAGGAAACGAGGCTCTTGAGTTTGCCAACAGAAGGGTGGAGATGCTCCAGTCCGAAACAACCACTCAAGGTGAGGATCTTCAACTGCGTGAAAGCTGAGAGATCAGGAGTACGTCTCATATCAAAGCAAGAGCTAAGGTCGAGAACTTGTAGCCGCTTTGGCGTCTACACAAAAAAAAAGAGGAGAATAAAGCTGTCAAAAGAATGAGAGTGGGGGATCGGCTAAACAAAAACAAAACCCCATCTTAAATCACGGAGAGAGAGGGAGGATGTCTCTTTTTTTTCCCCCCCAATCTTACCATGAATGAACTCCTCCATCCTTCCCAATCCTCTGTGATGCCCCAGCTCCCTGATAAATCCAGCACCGATAAGTTCGGTAGATGCAAATTGGTCGTCGAAGAGGCGCGGCTGATTCGCTTCCCCTGACCCGCCACTGAAGCCATCTTACTTCAGAAAGGAGTTCGTTGGAGCCTCCGCTTGAAGCTGCCCGCATCCAGTCATCAAACCAGGGGCTCTGCAAGTTTTAAAATTGTTCATCTGAGTGGCGAGTGCGTCTGGGTATGGGCGAAGGAATTGGACGGGACAAAGAAAATGACGGAATCCTTTTCAATTCCCAGTTATATATCAAATCAATCCATGGAGTCTCTCAGTTGACTTTTTTTACTTTTTTAGTTTTTTGCTTTTTTTTTAAAATCTTGGATTCGCACGATTTGTTATCTTGCTATCCTTCCCTTATATAAATATGGATTTCTGAAATCACGTTTAATTTTTTTTTTGACGGCCTTTAGAAATTTGAACAAATGACATGAAAATAAAGAAAAAAAATAGTTCTTGCATTAAAACAACTAACGCAAATGCACATTGATGTTTTATCTTTGGCTCTCTCTTTTTTTTTTAAAATTTTGTAGCGCGTGCACTTTGACAAGGATCGAAAAAAAAAAGTCGCTTTTATAAGTCAAAACATTAATGTCCTGCTAAAACAGATCATTTGATGAGTTAAAAATGGTGAAAAAAAAAATCCCATAAGGCTTTGCTTGGTTAGAATTGCTTTTTTGGTTGGTTTGATCCACTTTTACGGTTTGACTCATCTCTCGTTATCTCTACTTTATATATTAACCGCTGAAAAACCTGCGATGTGTATAATTTCTCTTAAGTTTGTTAGTAGAAAGAGTCACTAAATTGTTGTAATCATAATTTCACGCTATCTTTCTTAATTTTCACTTGTAAATCATCTATATTTTGTGATACATTAAAAAATCTACTATACAGAAAGGGGATTTCAAACCTCGTCAAAAGTTTTCACGCAATTCGCATATATTTCACCAAAATGAACTAAAGAAATAGGATATAACAAAATAAGTAAAATCATATTTAAAATAGTCGAGACAATTGAAATTTAGTCCCATAAGTATTTCATTTTCTAAAGTTAAATCAAAATCTCTCGTGTTGTACAATCATTTAATATTTTTTTCTATACTAATTATCATCTTTCAACGTTTCTGTCTGTTCAAAATAGATTTGACCTTTTTTCATTTTTCAAACACCTGTATGGTGTGCTCTTTTTGCTAATGCTAAGAAGTTATTGGATCAACAAAAGAGTGTGATTTAAATCATAGCAACGAACTATTTCAAATTATATCAAGACTATAAATTGTTTCCTTTGCCCAACATCTCTTGGTTAATTGCTAAGGTTAATTCCTGGCCATTGATTAGTCATGAGCCTGTGAGACATCCATATGGACAATATATAATAATAAAATCACATTGATAATATAAGTACAAGAGAAACATAGTTGAAAAAATTGGCTTCATGCTGAAAATCATATATAATGGACACAAAGATATGGATATAATAATAAGCACAACATTTCCTCTCATTAGTCAAGTTTTATTTTTTTTTATAAATAGTCAAGTTAGTCTAGCGGATTTTGGCACAAAAGAGGCATTGTCCCAAAAAATATAAATAATATAAAACAACTTGTAACGGCCCGAATTTCGATGTAAGTCCGGGATCAATAAAACGGATATTAATTCGCATTTCATTTTAGTAAGTCTCGCCCAGAGCTGAACACTCTCGGGATACTAACCAATGGGGCATGGCTAACTAGAAAGCGGTACGTGGACCGGGGACCCTATCGTGAAACGGATACAGATCGCGAGAGATGCTGAGGGAATATTTTGAACCGATGTGGGCCGATCTTAGGAAAGGTAACGGATTTGGTTTGGCCAAGGCCAACGTTGTACACTCGGATCGCAGGTGAATCTGCATGACCGAAAAGTGCACGTGGCCAATCAGTCCTGAACCTAAACCGAACGATCGTAGCCTTTGGGGCTAGTGATAATTTCTCATTCTCTCAATGATCGAGACCATTACGATACGGGTAGCCCTAGGTCGATATGCGTAATCTCTAAACTGCCGCCCGTTAGTGAGAGACCCTGAAATTGAAAGTTTAGCGGGTTTTGTTCACGGAATTGGGCCCGGATTTCGGTATCGATTTTCGAAGGCTTAAGAGACTATTTTTGGGAATATGACGTTATATTATGCTGGCCACACACATGTGGAGTTAGTACGAGCAAAAATTGGAATTTCGGTCCGGGGGTGAAAAATTACGATTTTTGCCCCCGGGATGCCAGCGTCGCTTTTCGAGGCCAAATGAGGTTATTTTTCGTGGCCGACGCCATTTTTGGGTGGCCATGCATACCAGGAGTCGTTTTGGCCAAAAATTGGAATTTCGACAAAAATTGGAAAAATAATATTATTTTATTCCCAAAACTTTGACGTGGATTTTCGAGGGCTTAAAAAGTGAATTTCGCGATTCCGACACCATATTATGTTGGCCACGCATATATGGAACGCGTATGTGCAAAAATTGGAATTTCGGTTTGGGATCGGAAAATTACGAAAATGCCCCTAGGCCATTTTTGATTAATTCCGAAAATTGGATTTAATTTTGGGATTAACCAAGGTGAGTTAAGGTTAAACCAGGTCTGGTCAACCATGGTTGGGGACAAAAGACCATTTCACCCCTAAATTATTGGATTAGGGCAAATCCTAGCCATTGGATCAAGGGTAAAATTGTCAAATGGGCTTAGATAATGACACTTGGACTCCACTAAGACCATCTTTGACCCATTTGACCAGACCCTCTCTCTCTCCAGCAGACCATTCGGCCATTTCCCTCGCAAACTTCTTCTTCTTTTCCCGTTTCATTTCTGCCGTTTCCGTTTAACGCACGTCTGATGCTACTGTTCACGCCGAGAACGATTAGGAAGCTATCCCCGTGAGCCAGCACCACCACCGGCTAGTTTCACCCAAGAGCGGCCACCATCGGCCTCGGTTTCAGTCCAAAAACAGCTCTCTCTCTCTCCTTTTTCCCTCTTTTTCTCATTTTTCTGTTTTACAAACGATCTGCGCCGCGAAGACTTAGCCGGACTCCGATCGCTGTTCCGTCGACACCCGGGCCTCCGGCCACGTCCATACGTCGCCGTTCAGCCCGTCCGTACGGCGGACCGTGCAGTCGGCTGTTCATCCGGACCGTACGGCCGTCGCCGCCGTGACCGGCGCCTCGCCGGCCATTGTTCCCGGCCGTCCCGTACAAGTGTCCGTACGGGGTGTACTGTTCACGCCGTGTACGTCGGGGAGGGCTGTTCATCCCCGTCCGTACACCGCACCGCTGTCCGCCGGGAATTCCGCCGTCGGTTTCACTGTTCACTAGTGATCGGCCGCCGTTCCCCGACGTCGTGACTTTGGATTAGGTAAGTAAAATTCCTAAACCCGGATTATGATTGATAGTGCGTTTTTCCTGGACTGGTTTAGGTATTATCGGTGCATTTTTGACTGGCTTAGATAATAGCAGTGTGTATTTGAGACTGGGTTGAGGACCGATTAGTAGAATTTATTATCGGGAAAATTTAGTGGTTTAATGAGAACTATTGGGGAGGAAAATGGGGTTTAATGACCAATTTAGGAGCTCGTTGGTGAAATTGCCGGGTATGCCCGGATTGACTGATGGTATGTAATTCGTGCTTAATTGTGATTGATTTCGTACTGTTATGTTGCATGTTGTGTGGCTACATTTGTGGAGTGCGATTGGCCACTGTTTGGCTTGTAGTTAATTATTGAGTTGTGAATCGCACATTGGGCCACACGGTATTAATTGGGCCAATTAAGCACGTGTTGCGACATGGGGTGTCTAAATTACATTGGTGCTCGTGGTGCATTGCATTGCATAACATGGACACGCATTGTGTATGCCAAGAGTGAGGCATGTGATGAAATTGTGCGAGAATGCGTGTCTGCCATGAGCATGTGATCACTTAAAATACCCTGAAGCGTTTTACGCTGGGTTCAGATAATAATGAGTTGTGTGATCACCTAAGGACCTTCGGGTCATGACCTACGGGTCGATACCGTCCTCATGCACTTTGAAGCAGGACGATGCCCGGTACGTCCGGAAGGCGACCATCCTCATGCACTTTGAAGCGAGGCTGCGTTCGCAAGGAGAACAGTGTTGCGCCTCATGCACTTTGAAGCGAGGCTAGAGACACCTGGCCGAGATCGGTTCTTTGCGCCTCATGCACTTTGAAGCGAGGCTAGACGCACCGGGCCATGAAAAATTGATGACTCGAGTCGTAATAATAATTAATTGGGCAAGTGTGCCAGTGTGGGCCAGTGGGCCAAAGAAATGTGCATGGCATGCCAATGACATTTGCATGCATAAACATGCATTGAATAGCATGTGAGTGTGTGAGCCTCGGTGTATGAGCATGTGATTGGCGTACGTGTGATAATGTGTGCCACGTATGTCCCGTGATTATTACATATTGAACTGTCTAACCTGCAGGGTCAGAGAATTGTATGATTATGGTTGTGTTATGATTTTATATGTTTGTTTCCGGTCAGGAGATTGCATGCTAGCCTAGCCTAGGTTTAGGGGTTGAACTCACTGAGATTCGTCTCACGGTTGTGTAAACCGAAACTTTTCGACCCCAGCGTAGGATGCCGAGGTCACCACCTCTTTTTGGAATACCGCCTTTTATCCAGCGTCGTCGAGCATGCACCCGGTGGGGATGGAGCGAACGGAGAAGTGGATGTTTGGGTTATTCCCAGCTGTTGGTGTTTCCTTTTTGGTTGTCGTGAACACTGTAAAAAGAGTTTTAAAATAGTAATATAAGTATGTACATATTTTCTGCGTTGATCGTTGTTTATTGGATGGCTATCCTTGGCTCATATTGTAATTGTCTGGGTTTGTTTATTTTATATTTCCGCTTGTGCTTGATCTCTGTATGGGCATGGGTCGGTGACGATTCCTGGGACGTCGCAATTTATCGACCGAAGGTGGGATGCTCACGCTTCGTGGGGTACGGGGCGTGACACAACTTATGGCAGATAGAAATGTTTGTTATAAGAAATGAGCATGGTTAATGTGATAAAACCTTAAAAAATAGTAAGATTTTCCTAAAAATATTTTAAAGGGGATTTTTGCTATCTTATTTATTAAGATGAAATAAGAATGAAAAGAGATAGATATAACTAGTAGAGTAGAGGGATGGGTATCTTCAAAATCAAAATGGAGAAAAATATATCAAACATTGGATTCCTAAATCATAGAAGCACCACCAATACATTCGGCTGTACTAAAAAGCAAGCATATGTGATAAGTGTGAAATTCTTTCCAAACTTATTGCTTTGAATTAATTACCAGTTAATATAATTGGCACATACCATCTTTTTTTTTTTTTCCTTTCAACCAGGAAATCTTCATTTATATGATCTATGATGTTTATACTTCATCTTCATTCATTATTGTAGTCCTTCTGATTATCAATATTTTCAACTAGATATGACAATTGCATGCTTTTAGTAAATGAGATTTATAGTGTATATTTTGTAGTTAAAGGATATTAAATTGATTGTAAATTAAATTTTTACGGATGTAATTTATATCAATGAAATCGAATCAAATGATTTAACTCTTTCATCCTTCATATACTTATATTTATTTAGTTGTCACAATTAATCTATGATGAACATAAATGGATGTTTACAAAAATATTTTTCCTAGAAAGGAAGATACTAGATGAAATATTAGAATAGATCATATTAAATATATTAAAATAAGAGGGAGAGAAAAAGAAGGAGTGCCATATTTTACCCCTTCATTGCTTAGTATTTTTGTGGTTCCCTTGTAGTTGTTGTCCCATGGTCCGCTATGTTTGTCAAGCAATTGTTCTTCGCAAAAAATGTTCCTTCCAAGATCTCTCAGTTGATCATGTATCACAAATTTACCACGATGTCCAATTTTAATTAAGCACCTCGACTTCAACTCTTCAATTCCTTCACTTGGATACAGCCCATCGTCCTCCCACATGTACATGGCGAATATGCTATTTTTGCCAATTAAGTAACAAGCAATATCAAGAAAAATCTGCTTATGTCCATCTTCTAATGCATCATAACTTATTCGCAATATCTTTTGGACATCTCTATGTGGTTCGCTTTTTAATTTCTTCGACACATCTTCCCATACTTTTTGATTCGTTTTTTTATACAAGGATGAACCTACGACCTCAAGTGCCAAGGGAAGCCCACCCATGGTGGATATGATATCATGTGATATACGCTCAAAGTCCCTCGAAGAATGGTCTGTACGAAATGCGTGTCTCTTAAACAGTAGCAAAGCATGCTTCTGATCCAATTCATTCAATTCATACTTGTAGACTCCCTCGAATTCAGATTGATCAAGAATGGCTGCATTTCTAGTTGTAACAATGATCATGCTACCTGCCATAAACCAATTTTGTTCCCTAGCCAGTGCATGTAGTTGATTCTTGTCATTTATATCATCGAGAAGAATGAGAACCTTTTTTCCTTTGAATCTAGATTTGATTATGTTAATTCCATCATCAATTCTAGACACTTGACTTTTGCTAGGTAGTATATCCGATATAAGTTGACTCTGTAAATACGTAATACCGTGGCGCCTAGTAGTTTCTCGAACATCTGGAAGGAAGCTGACATGCACATATTTATTTGAGAGTTGATTGTAGATGTGCTTGGCAAGAGTTGTCTTGCCTATCCCACCCATGCCATAAATTCCAATCATTCGAGCATGGATGGAAGGACTGTCTATCCAATTCATAATTTCCTCAAGACGACCCTCAAGTCCAACTAGTTGCTTAGGCACATCCAGTTGAAAATCTTCCTGTAACTTGCTTATAACAGTTTCGACCACACATTCTATTAATTTTCCCTCATGCCTGTCAAACATCAAAAACAATGAGAAGTTATGAACCTAGACACAGTCTATGCAAAGTATTCGATCCTTATCAACTGAGCTATAGGAGGTCGATTTTATCTTGGTGGTGATTAAGCTTTGGAAGACCGAGCATTGGAGTCTTTTGTAGGCCTATTGTTTAGTGATTGATACTATTGGCTAGAGGAATTGTCGTTTCTTTGTGTTTTGCTTTGTACCGGAGGAAAATGTAAAATTCTTGGGCACTATGGGATGCTTTGGTTTTAGCTGTCGTTGGTTTAGTTTTCAGGGACATCTTAGGGAGTACAAGAGTTCGTTGTCTTCGAGGCATTATGGTTGTTTTTTTATAATCTAGAGGCATTATGGTTGTTTATTGGGACATTTTGGGGATCTTTTCTGACTTTGCAGTGAAAGTAATTCGTTTGCATTTCATCGGTTCGAAGAAGAAAACTTACTTATCAGAAAAAGAAAAGTTCAGTGAAGTACCCGTCAGTAAATTTCTCAGATTCCCATCCATTTAAGTAACTGACTTCATTAAGTGCTTGCTGTGCTTCCTGGATATCCTTCTCCTCAAAACACGCCTGACTCGAACGGAAGGCGTTTCCAAAATTTCCTTCTAGATGCCGCACATCCGATGGGGCAACTTTGTAAAAAATGGGCAAGACTATGTGTGACGTGCTCTTCTTGCGATCCATGATATGAATGAGTTCGCGGAGGCACCATTTGCTCGAAGCAAAATTTTCAGAGATGACGAGGATCGAAATCTTAGACTGTGTGATGGCATCGAGAATTTGTGAACTGAATTCCTCGCCAATTGGGATGCTTTTATCATCCCTGAACACCCAAAATGGTACTGTCCCTGCCTTGACCAGATTCTGATAGAGGTGATCAGTAAATGCCTTACGGGTATCCGAGCCTCTAAAGCTCAAGAACACGTCGTATTGACCGCTACCTACATCTGTGGGTACCGGAGAGATGAATGAAGGAGTGGATGCTCCCTCAGTGCTCTCTTCCTCTACTCTCTTTCTGTTACTTTGCCCATTGTCCATGGCGATATGAGGGGCAAAGTTGAAATGAAAAGATGCTTTTTCTGCTGCTCAAAAGGATTGATGAACAACGAAAGAAGCTTTTTGGTTGCTTTTCTGCAAGTGCTTGTAGTCCTTGCCCTATATTCTTTTGGACCTCATCCTCTAGTCGAGTCAAACTCGTTGGCTTGGTCGACTTGAGAATAACGGGTACGTTAATTTCTCCCCTTGGAAATGCTGAAGAAGGTTCGTGCTCCTCGAGAGGTTTGACTGAGGAAGATTAGGTGATGGCCCCTGAATAGAGGTCCCCAAAAAGGTAAACTACCTCTTTCTCTGGCCGTGTTCGCTAATTCGTGGTCTCTGGATGACTGTTAGCTCTACCCTAAGAAGTTAGAATGGTAGCAATCCATGTCTCTTTCCTGGGCCCCATTGCTGATGCTTTTCTGTATTTACAAAAAATTTCATATTCATTTATAAGTCTTGGCCCCACCAAAATTTTCTAGTTTCTTTACATTCCGAAGTTCAAAGAATTATTGTTAAAAACTTTTAGCAGAATAGTCGTCCAAATTTAAGAGCTCTGTTTTGCTACAATCATGCTTCCAGTTGTGAAATATGATAATGATGAGCAATTATTTTCAAATTTGAGAAGTAATGCTTTGGTATAGATGGTTTTTTTTTTGTCAGACTTTGGTATAGATGGTTGAGAAATAATTCTTTGGTATGGATGGAATGATTGCACTTTACTATTAGGTCTTATCTCTATTTTGGTAATATGAGCTATCCATTGAAAAAATACACACCGTTGACATTGTAACGAGAGATTCTTTAGGAAAATTCGAATGTGTTAGTAATCTAAAAAGCCGACATCTAGTAATGTAGGGGAAAAAATTCAAGGTCATTGGTCTATTTAAAAGTTAAATATCATTTGCTATCTATTTTGCGAAATACATCATCTTACTAAGATGAGAAAAAAACAAAATTTTCAAACATGATATATGTTAGTGATTAGAAATAATCTACTTTGATTTTCTTAGCAACATGTACTGGTCAGGATTATCGTTTTGCTAGCTTGTACAAGAAAATGGAAAATCTTGGGGCCCATCGCACTATCTTGAAAATGGATAATGTCATTCCTGATTCCAAGATTCAAGAGGGCAAACTCATGCTTATTGGTGTCAAGGCTACTGTTTTATATGAGTTCGAAACCTTTTCGCAGAATACTTGCAAATAGATTTTGGCCGATGAAGAAATAGTTTATGAAGGACGGATGCTTCTATCGAATGGATAAACTAATGAGATCAAAGAATAGACAAATACGCAAACAGGTTTAGTTTATATCAAACTTACATTCACTCTTATAGACTAACTACCATCAACAACGCTTTAAACGCAGAGAATCAAAGTAGAAACATATTGTGAACACAAGAGAGATCGAGATAATTTAAAGAGTTGAAGCTTTCTCAATTTCCGCCAAGTCCATCAGCATCTGGTGAATCCTTTTAGGTATCTCACACATGATAGGTCCACTTTGTAAGAAATAGGCAAGATTAAATATCTTGTCCTTTTCTTCCTTTTTCCTTACCAAAAAAAAATATCTTGTCCTTTTCTTGCGGCCCATGAGTTGAATGAGCTTGAGAAGGCATCATTTGCTAGAAGCATAATTTTCAGATATTATGGGCATCAAAACTTTAAACCATGGGATCACATCAAGGAGCAGTGAACCAACCCCTTGCCACCCCCACATCCCCAATAGACAAAAAGGGCCCATAACACACTAGTTCAGCCGATTATTCCAACAACAAAGCGACGAATCAATAAAAACGACACGCTGATAAGACACAACAAAGAATCAATAAAAACGACACGCTAATAAGACACGACAAAGCGATTACCTCCCACGAGCTGAGATGAGAAGAGAGGCGCGAGATCCGAGAGAGGAAACCCTAAACAAGCCTGGGCAAGAACTTTCAAGAGGGAAAAGATCAAAGAAAGCTAGTGAGGACGATAGTTTCGAATTGTCTGCAAGAGGGAGGCCGAACGTGAGGGAGAGGGAGAGAGAGAGAGTACAGAATGACAAATTCTGGTCATATCTACTTATAAACCATTTTGTTAAACAGATAAATGTGGCTCTTGCTAATTTTTCATTATGATATTATCAAACACGTTCTTCCTCCGGTAAATGCTACATTCTCTCCCACCCTAAACATGCATAAATCATTATTGTCAAATCTACTGTTGGTTAGTAACTTTCTATGCTATATATACGTAAAAGTCACGTTTTTGTTGTAAGCAGTTAAATCGCATGAAAACCACACTTTATGACGAGTTTCTCTGATTCAATCCGCAAAGATTAAGTCCACCTAAAAATTGTCCACATATTAAATATGTGTAAGTGCATTGAAACCAGTAGCTTTGCCCGCTTTCAAGTTTTCCATTGTAACCAGCACAAAAAAAAAATAGTACAATTGTGAATTTTTCATAATTTCTGGAAAACATTTGAATTTTCTGTCATTTTCCGGAAATTACGAAAATTGCCAATATAATGGAAAATGGTTTTATGGACATCCAAAAAATCTCTAGTTGATCTGATCTGTTCAGATAAATTTTTGTTGTTGAGCCTTTGAAAGGTTTTGTGTGATTATTGAAGAGAATAGACTAGCAAGATCGATATTTGGAAAAATCTAGTTTTTAACTGTTTTCAAGAAAAAAAGGATTATTTCTGCAAAAACTGAGTATTTTGGACGTGTCAGGCTTTAAGTAATTTTGGACAATTGGGGTTCATATAGGGCCGATGGACCTAAAATCGGGTCTAGAAGGGTATTTTTGTAGTTTATATCGAGCGGGCTTTCTGTCCCAAGGGAGTTAGTCAACCAATAATGTTTTGAAAATAACATCCAGATAAGGGTCAACATGCAATTCCACCAAATTCAACCGGTATAACCATTCATGACCGATTAGTTTAAATGAGAAGATTGTAGTAAGAAAATTTAGCAATATATGTGATGGCGATTTTGAAAAAGTCCAGGAAATTTCACAAGTAATATTTTGTATGCCTTAAAGGATGTTAGGTGTTATGCGACGAATAACAATCAAATGAATTTTGTATGCCTTAAAGAATGAAGGTCGGGCTTACCTCGAGGAATGATGCAGAGATGAAATTACTGTGATGAGTTTCAGTGTTTGAGAAGAGTTGCCTTCAAGCAGAGCAAGTTGTGTCCGAGTCCCGGAAGGCAGTGCAATCGAAGGATTACCTTCACGCCTCAACCTGGAGCTATCAAAACCAGATTTCTCAGAACAAAAACGAGCGTTTCAGTGATTTATGGTGATTGGTGTTTCTCCTCTTCTAGCACGAGCCCTTGGGACTTTAAATAAAGCTTTTGCTTCTTCTCTTGCCCCAAAGGAGACGCCCAATCTTGTGGTGGGATTGCGTTTCTTTGACGAGGAAATTGTACTTCTTTTTAACCCTGACCTTTTTGACCAAGACTACCAAAACAATTCCCTTCCTCGAAATTGGCAAGACTACCTCAATGTAGACTTTAAGGATATTCTGTTACTTTCTCTCTGTAAGTGGACGGCGTGGCCACGCAAATCAAAGTGAAGGATGGGCGACCTTTTGCATTCCTTGACCCCATTAACCGAAAGAATCGGTACTTTATGTTAAGAGTCGAGGTGTTCACATTGGAAATTAAGCTTTGCACGATGCTGTTCCCTAAAGAGCCACGCAATCATCTCCTTTACCCGGCAACTTTCGCAAGTTGTTCATAGTGGAAATTACTTCTTCTGTTGCCTCAAAAGATGAGCCAGATGTGCTTGGGATACACACAATCCTACCGCAGATTTTGCCTAACATCGATGGGGAATTTTGCTTCTTTAACTGACTAACTCTCACCTTTCGTTAGTTCTCTTTGTAATGGGATTGCACAAATCAAAGTGAAGATGGACAACATTTTCCTTTCCCTTCCCGTTAAAATGAATGCCTCTCACCACTAAAGGCGTTGAAATGGTAAAAAATCTACATTTTATGTCACGCTCCGAACCCCATCGAACACGCGACACACTTTTCTGGTCGAATAATGCGATGTCCTAGGGTATCGCCGACCCAATAAAACTTATCAGAGATTTTAAAACGATAAGCGAAAGCCACCAATACCCGGACAAATATAACTGGGGTAAACAGGGAGAATAAACATATTCATTGCTCATCCAAACTTATATAATATTCACAATTTACAAACCGCCATATACACAATCACATCGAACTTCTATACTATTAACCACCGACATCAAAAAGGATCGATAGCCTGAGTATCCTATCACCAAAAATGGAACACCTCAAAAAGCCTATTCCCAACCCCTAAACCTAACCCCTATGCCCTCTACTTGGCGTCCACTCCGAGTCTGACTCCTCATCCTCTGAATCTGAATTCCCCTGAACTGTCTGCTCCTTTGAGGACTCCGGCTTGGCCTCGATCTCGATCGGGTTGTTTATGTCACCCGACTCCGCTGGAACTTCGACCCGCTCCTCCTCGATTGGCTCCTCATCGGACTCATTCTCTGGCACAAACTCGGGGTCGAGCCATTGCTCATACGCGGGTATATGCACCGGTTCTTCTTCAGGATCATCCTCGGGCTCATCTTCTGGGTCCTCTTCAGGTTCTGCCTCGGGTTCTTCCTCCTCTGATTCTTCCTCTAGGATCGGCCCGAGATCCACATCCATCGGATCGTACCCCGCTTGCGATTCTTCAGGCTCTGGTTCATGCTCGGCCCCCGAAGGCTCAGGTGCCGCAGGCGCTTGCTGGAGTCCAAACTGCGCCAGACTAGTCTCTAAACTCGTCAGCTCGCCGTCGGGAGGGAGTATGGCTGCCGGGTCCCAATCTCCGACTCCGTCAAAGGGGACATCAAATCCGCGGACAGGGCCAAACTCATCTATCCCGTCTCGAAAGAACCAAGCGGTATATATATGGGCCTGCCATAGGGGTAATCCTACATCTATCCAGACTACCGTGGTATGCTTGATCCAGGTCATAAAATCATCTATAGGGTACTCTACAACGTCGTGGTCGTTGTGCATCGGTACTCCAAAACGTTTAGGCGGCGGCGGCGGGAGATTCATTGCTCAGGCCGGGGTTCTGAAAATGTTGGTTGAAACAACCATGAGATTACATCTCAATAAGTACACCCCTAAACCCCACCTAGGCTATCATGTACCTCCAGACAATCACAACCACACACAGCCAACACATAGCAAGCATACAATTATGCTTACTTGGGCCTTTCCAGCGTGCAACTTGCACGTTAGTCACAACAACACCATTTCCAATCACATGCACGTTCTAATTACATTTCCCACACTCATTCCCGACTCATCACATCTTTTCCACACAACTCGCCAGTGACCCGCGTAATGGTACCGCCTCAGGTTCACTACGACTAACTCATTCTCAATTCGCTAGTGACACGCGTAGTAATACCGCCTCAGGTTCACTGCGACTAACTCAAAATAACACTTCAGGACTCGCGTAATGGTACCGCCTCAGGCCATGTATCTTGCCCGCGTAGTGGTGCCGGCTCAACATCCGTCACCTAGTGCACAACCCGCGTAATGGTACCGCCTCAGGTTGGCTATATTCACAACACTTCTCGGCCCGCGTAGTGGTACCGCCTCAGGCCATGTATCTTGCCCACGTAGTGGTACCGCCTCAGGCTCAACACCTACCACCTACGACACAACCCGCGTAATGGTACCGCCTCAAGTTGGCCGTCCTCCGGTAATACCGGGCATCGTCCCGCGTAGTCGTACCGCCTCAGGACGGATCAATTCCCCGCGTAATGGTACCGCCTCAGGGATTTCCACGATCACAAATACCGTACCACACATGATCTCTCGTTCGTTCACATGCTCAATACCCACTTGCCAATAAATTGGCCAATCACACGTGGCCCGTGCACGCATCAATTCACACACATATTTCTCATGCTCAATAAGCATCCAACATGGCCAATCGACAATTAATTCAATTTAGCCCAAGCGTGCACATAACGACTCACATTTCCAATCAACCAAAACACAATCCAACAAACACACAAGGCCACAAACGGGCCACAATCACAGCCACATACTGATCACAATTTCAGCATTTCCTCACTCAATTCAAGCCATAACGAACATCACAATTCAGCCACCATACCACACACTAAACCGACACCAATCGCCCTTAATCAAACCATAGGCTCGTCACTACAAATCCCAATTTCCAGCAATGAACTTGGCATCAATTCAGCCCCGAAACTTCACAATTTCATCCTCAAAATCAGTTAATACCAGCCCCTAAATCAGTCCACATGATTAATCCATAAACAGCCCCGAATTTTGCCAAAACCGCATCTAATTAAACTCGATTCCACCCCTAATTTTGTCCGTCGATACCCGAAGTCCTAAATAGAGTTTAGGGCGTGACTTACCCGAACTCTAGACTAGCTCGGCTAGAGTGGAAAGGGGGTGGCTAATCGGTGGCAAGCAGCGGCACGCGGCGGCGGCGAGCGGCGGCGGTGACTTGCTGGACGGCGGGCGGCGATCGGCGGCTTGCTTGCCGCGGTTCACGGCCACGAGAGAGGGAGGGAGAGAGAGTCGGCGGTGTGAGGGTGGGGTCATGGTCCGGTGATGGGACGGCGGTGGCACGGCGGGCGAACGGCTGGCGAGCGGCGGCGCGGCAAAGGGGAGGGCGGTCGGTTCGGTGAGGAAGGGGAGGGAGTTGCCGAGAGATAGAGAGAGAGAATGAGGAGAGAGGGAGAGAGGATTTTGGTTTAAATAGTCAAGGCCAATAATTGAGGGGGCCAAATGACCATCTTGCCCTTCTCTCACAATCCAAATCGACGGTCCAGATTCGATCTTATCTTGAAATCGACGGCTTGGATCAAATCTTTTCCAACATATCTAAGGGCAATTTCGGAATTTTATAAAATTCCAAAGGCAAAATTGTCCAACTCAAAAATTAGGGCAAAATGACTAAAATGCCCTTCCCCTTTAACACTTGCCCTTTATAAATCTCCAAGGGTAAAATGGTCACTTTTCCATTTTCTTGCCGAATTTGAATTTTTCTGAAGGATTCGGGAAAATCCGAGGATACTCGGGCAAATGACAACATCGTCCAAATGTTCTGTCGTGACTTTCTAAATTTCCAATGCCCAACTTGGTCTCTAATTTAATGACTAAGTTCTGAACAACGTAACTTGTGTATATCTCATACTAACGGGCGGCTTTTGGGGAAATTCGCATTATTGACCCGTCGCCGATACTGAATCATGCCACGTACAAGTTTACTCGAGTCGTGACGACCTCGGTTGTCACTTAGTCGCGAGGATTGATCACTAGATCCGACGGGCACGATCGTTTGGTATAAGTTTGGGGTCATTCGTCGGTTCATTTCATGGTCAAGTGGAATCACCCGCGATCCACTAATATGACAATGGCGAACTGATCCCTGGCTATCCTTGGATCGGCCTACAATGGCTCAAAATGTCACCTCGACGATTTTCATGGTCGAAAGTCGGCTAACGATCGAGTTCTTTGGTCGCGCGAATTTAAATGCCTAATTAGCCTTTCCCTATCGGTTAGTATTCCCGAAGTGATCAATTCCGAGCGAGATCTAACTACAAGCACATCCATAAACTATTCACTTCATAAATCCCAAGTGGGTCAGATTTCAGAATGTCACATTTTAACTCATATTTAGTGATCTAGATCATAAATGAATTAGATGAAATTTAAAGTAACAAAATTTAATTCAATATATATTTTAATGAGTCCAAACCATGTCTATATATAATTCACGTTAATCGAAGAAAGAGAAAATAGTAATGATTTTTCCATTTGCTTTCACATGGCTCCTTAGTTGGCCTCATGCTCGAGCGTGGTACACCTCGGCACGTGGAGCCTAGTGTACGTGGCTTGACAAGTGCATGAGCTTTTTCTCACTTGCCTATTGCTTTGACCAATGATCGAGTGACACGTCATTCGTTCCCTATAAATTAGCTCCATGGCCAAACGACAACATCAATTAGGGTCAATTCAGCAAAACCTCCTCCATACACTTAAGGACATAAGGAATTAGATTGATATCATGTGCTTAATCTGCACACGCAATTATCTTACGTATTCAGAGATCAAAGTTATGGTGACGCATAAGGGAATGAAGAAAGCATGGGAAAATTACCAAAAAGTCCTAAATCAATTGTACTTGTGCCAATTTAGTCATAAACCTTTTAATTTGACCGATATAGTCCTAAACATTTTGACAATTTACCAATGTAGTCCATCTAGCCAATGTTGGCCAGAAATTATTAACATTATTGACGTAGACGCTAGGCATTTTACGTGACACAGCTGACATTGATATAGAAATTTTTTTAATTTTTTTAATTTTATTAATTCTTTTCTTTTTTTATTGTTAAGGGTCAGTGGGGGGCTGCCGGCCGAGGCCCAGTGACCCCGCCTACCACAAATCAAGGGCCCACAAGCCCTCATCAGCGGCTGGTGAGGGTCGTGGCCCTTGCCCATAGGACGGCAAGGATTGCAAGGGCTGCGGCCCTTGCTCAGCTATGAACGAGGGTCATGAGCCCACGACTAATGGCCAACAAAGGCTTGCTACCCTCACACGTGGCAGGCGAAGGCCACGAGCCCTATAAGTCGCCCCAATGGCTGGCGAGGGCTTGTTGCCCTCACACGCGACAAACAAGATCCGAGAGCCCTCGCCAACCACTGGGCGAGGATAGTGAGTCATTGCCAGCTGTGCCACGTAGAACACTCGTCGTCTATGTCAGCAATTTTCGGCCAAAATTGGCCGAATTGACTGCATTGTCAAATTGTCAATAGATTGATGACTAAATTGGCCAAATTAAAAGGTTTAAAACTGAATTAGCACAAGTGCAATAGGTTTATGACTTAATAATTTTCCCCCATTAAATCACACAGAAACCACACTTAATGATGAGTTTTTAATCCAATCCACAAAGATAAGGTCTTCCTAGAAATTTCCTGCACAGTAAACTATTTTAGAGTGAAAGAGGGTCACCTTCCTCCCATGAAGTTCATGATGGTTTCTAGAAAAGAAATAATACATTTGGGACCATCTCATGGTAAGAACAGTCTACAATAATGCATTTTAATTTAATCTTTAAAATTGATTTGTGGAAGAAGAATTTTAACCAAACTAATTTTGGGGAAGACTGGAGGGACATTGCTGTATTCACAACTAATGACAGATTTCAACTGCAATTGTCATATATAATATAAACACACAAAAAGGAAATGAATAAACCCAAAATCGCGTGCCACTCAAATCAAGAATGGTGGGTGCCTTCTTTTTCGGAAGGGTCTCATGTAATCATACAAACCACACGACAATTACCTTTTATTGCGATGGGATTCAATTAATTAGTAATTGAGGGATAAGGAGCAGTAGCAGACGCTTTTAGTCCTTGCCTTTTATCTTCTTCGAGACCTCACCCTAACTCGTTGGCTTGGTCCACTCCCAATTAAGGAAAATTAGAGGACTTTACCGAGTGGATCCACAAATCACAGAGGCTTTCTTCACTCAAAGACATAAAGCTGTAGGAGAAGATGTGTGGCACCAGCGGTTAGCTCATACCAACTTAAAAACATTGAAGCATCTGCAGACTCAGAAATTGATTCACTGTACTACAAGAACTCAAACTATATGTAGAAGCTGTCAAGTTGCCAAGAGTACTGCATTACCATTTCCTTTATCTGAATCTGTGTCTACTATTCCTTTAGAGAAGATTCATTGTGATATTTGGGGTCCATCACCAGTCAATTCTTTTCAGAATTTCAAATACTATGTCATCTTTGTGGACAGCTTTTCCCGTTATAGTTGGCTTTATCCAATGAAATTGAAGTCATATTTCCATGACATCTTTGTCATGTTTCAGAAGCAAGTAGAGAATCAATTTGATCGTAGAATCAAAATTTTTCAATGTGATGGTGGAGGAGAATTCACTAGCAACAAATTTCAGATTCATTTACAGAATTGTGGCATCAAACAATGTGTTTCTTGTCCTTATACACCAGAACAGAATGGGATTTCTGAAAGAAAACATCGCCATGTGGTTGAACTGGGCCTAGCTATGCTCTATCATGCTAGAATTCCATTAAAATACTGGGTTGATGCATTCATGACAGCTAACTACATTGTCAATATACTTCCTACATCAAAGTTACAAATGCACTCACCCTACAGCAAACTTTATCAACAAGAGCCCAGATATGAACATCTAAGAGTCTTTGGATGTGCATGTTACCCTTGTCTCAGACCATATGCACAACATAAATTTGATCCACGATCACTCACATGTGTATTTCTGGGATATAGTGAACTTCATAAAGGATATCGATGTCTTGTACCTGCTGCTAGTCGTATATACATTAGTCGACATGTGTTGTTCGACGAAAATTTCTTTCCTTTCACTAGGACACTATCAACAAAGTACAATCAGTATACTACTCTGTATCGACAATGGGCAGAAGAAGTTAACCTTCTGGATTCTACAAGTGCAGAACAGGTGCAATATCACTCAAATGGACATCTAGGACATTTACATGATAATGGAATCTTGGAAGTTGGTCACTTAAATCCATCTCATCCTGTTGAAATGCCATCAAATTCATCTCACTTACAATTGCAGTCTGACTCAGTCCCTGATGCACTAGCAGTTACTGATGCACGAGCAGCTCTTCCTCACACAATTGATACAACAGATGAAATTATTATCAACCAAACTTAGCAAAATCCTCCACCAGTTTCACAAGGTACATTTTCTACCCATTCTATGCAAACTCGACTAAAATCTGGCATTGTTAAGCCAAATCCCAGATATGCATGTCTGGCTGAATACAAAGTTCCTCTTGAACCACGATCGGTTAAATCAGCCTTAGCAGATGAAGGCTGGCATAAAGCAATGCAGGATGAAATGGATGCTCTGCATGAAAATCAGACATGGATATTAGTTCCTCGAACTAACCAAATGAATGTCATAGGATGCAAATGGGTGTTGAAAACTAAGCTAGCATCTGATGGAAGTCTTGAAAGATTAAAGGCTCAGTTAGTGGCTAAGGGATTTCATCAAGAAGAGGGAGTTGATTTTACAGAAACATTTAGTCCTGTTGTCAAACATGCCACCATCCGTATAGTGCTCTCAGTGGCAATGATGAAACGCTGGCCAATACATCAACTTGATGTTAAAAATGCTTTCTTACATGGAACATTAAATGAGACAGTCTATATGGAGTAGCCACCTGGTTTTACACATCCTCAGAAATCTCAATTTGTATGTCTTCTCAAGAAATCCTTATATGGTCTTCGTCAAGCGCCACGTGCTTGGTTTGACAAGTTTAGCAATTTTCTTCTTGAAGCTGGTTTCTTCTGTAGCACTACTGATCCCTCACTCTTTGTGCTTCATGATGGCCCAGACACAATACTTTTGTTGCTCTATGTAGATGATATTATATTGACTGGCAGCTCAGATCAGCATCTCACTAAACTGATTCAATCACTCAGTCTTCAATTTCACATGAAAAATCTCGGGCATCTTCATTACTTCTTAGGGATTGAAGCCAAACGCACCACTAATGATCTTTTCCTATGTCAAACCAAGTATGCTCTTGACCTTCTGATAAAAGCTAACATGACAGATTGTAAACCTGTTTCCACTGCTCTGTCACTAAGATCAGTCGTCATGACAAATGATGCGCTCCTACTCGCTAATCCACTTGAATACAGAAGTCTAGTTGGTGTTCTTCAATATCTAACAATAACTCGCCCTGATCTTGCTTATGCCACAAATCTCTTATGTCAGAAGATGCAACAGCCAACAGTTGGAGATTTTCATAAGTTGAAAAGAGTTCTTCGCTATGTTAAAGGAACCATTCATCTTGGTATTTTTATTCGTTCTCACAGCTCAGTGACATTATATGGATTCTCCGATGCTGATTGGGCTGGTTGTGTTGATACCAGATGCTCAACTACTGGGTTCTGCACTTATCTTGGTTCTAATCTCATTTCGTGGATAGCTAAGAAGCAGCCTACTGTGTCTCGTTCCTCCACAGAAGCTGAATATCGAGCACTTGCGTCTACTACTGCTGATCTTACATGGATCAGTTTTGTTCTACTGACATTGGTTTATGTCTCTCCTCCCCAACACTTTTGTTTTGTGATAATCAGTCTACCATTTCTCTTACTGCCAATCCTATTCTACATGCTCGTACCAAACACATCGAAGTTGGCTTCCATTTTGTTCGGGAGAAAGTTTCCTCAGGTTCTCTAAGTGTCCGCTATGTTCCCAGCGCTCATCAGCTTGCTGATATTTTTACCAAATCTTTGTCACGCTTGGCTCACATTACTATCAGAACCAAATTGGGTATGGGCTTTCGCACCCTTCCCAATTTGCGGGGGGATGTTAAGAACAACTTTCACTCAGTTTCAACAAAGGAAAGAAATGAAGATATTGCTGATCCAACCAGGAAGGCAAGAGATGAAGTCAACAAGAAAACTTCCAGCTTCACGTGTTCAACTCTTCCGCTGCAGAACTGTTACTCTGTTTTGTGCATTTAACTAAATGAACATCCGAATTTACTTCTCTTATTATGTTAGTTTGTTAGTTTGTTAGCTTTATTAGATGAGCTGTAAAACTACCTTTGGTAGTTCTGTACAATATAAATAAGAGACCAGAGAAAACGTGTTGTTAACTCTGAATGATGAAAATTCTCTTTGTATTCAGAGAAATGTAAATCCAAAAACTCTGTTTCTTTTCTCTCTGTTTCTTTCCTCATTGTTTCCTTCTCTTCCTGTTCGTGAGTCTTCACAAAAATCAGAAAACACCGGGTGTCCCTCACGCGAGTTTCCACTCTTTTTTTCTTTCGGGCATAGGGTTAAATTGAAATAAAAGCATTGTGACCATACGATAAAGAGCAGATCGAGGGTTAATTTGAAAAGGGATTTCTTGAACGAGTCATTTTCCTTTGTCCGAGATCCATTATTGTTGCTTACATTACAAGCGGCCGGTGCCCAGGAAAAGACTCAGAACCGACTCCCCCTCACCTTGATCTTTCAAAATTTGGCAGCTAAGTTGGCTAAGATAGCGACTGCTGGTTTCCATTTATTAGAAAATTCCATGAGGCTACTGCTTCATTGTCAGGGAAAAAATCTTGCACGATCTTATCGCCATTGTCGACCTAGCTACCCATGTGAATGAGAGAAATGCGCAACACGCATCCGAGGACGAGTTGATCATTCAAGAACATGAATATGGATATACCCAGATCACAATATAATCAAGAGAAAAGGGGGAAAAATTATAATCAAGACAGCAGGATTAATTTATAAATGATGCGACGGAAAAAATTAATCACAATATAATAATGTACTGAAATTTGTGTTTTATGATGGGGTTTTGTATGGGGTTTGCACGGTTTCTCTTAGGTGTTTTCATAAAATCTAGATGTCCAACAATGCTACGTAAATACGCCATACATCAAACTCTTCAATTTGCGTATTGACTATAAATGACTCATATTGATCTTATAGCATACGTGGTTATGTTATTGTTCTATAATTATACTCTTTTTCCTTTAAATTGACAAGAGTGAGCCAATCTAGGTCACGATTCATGAATGTGAACTCACAAATATGCTATACGTGTAATCCTAATGCTAGTCTATCGTCAAGTGCTTGAGGAGAGTTGAAATTGACAAGTGAAAGCTATCTGTTACTTGAAATATACATCAGCATAGCCAAGAGTAGCTACCTGATATAGTTTGTCAAATTTTTATCTTTATTCGAATTCATAAAATCCATTTTTTCCTCCCCTGCTTGCTTTGCTTATGCTGATCGTGAGTTTTTTTTTAAGATTTACATTAGATCCAACATTTTTTTGGTCCAGATACAATTCAGCACATATATTAGAATTTGCCGTATTAAGAGAATGCTATTAAAAGGAGTAATATGTAAAACTAGTAACATTTTTTTGGTCTAGATACAATTCACACCCATCATCACCACCAAGTTTAAGATGTCGAAATGAGGTTAAAAATCTTGGGTTCTGCTGCGCAATAAACAAAAGCAAGGGGATCAACACATGAAGAGAACAAAGAAGATTGTTTACCTTCACCAGCCAAAAGATTGTAGGGTCAAATAGCAAACGCAGGAAAGAAATCCAAAAGAAAACCATACGGAACTGTCTATTATTTACAAGGATATACCGTCCTGGAAACAATATGCGTGCCATTAATGGGAAGAGCTGAAAGATTGTCTTCAATACAAAATAACTGTAGTCATACTTCATCTTTTTAACATGTAAAAACAACGATTTCATTCAGTGTTGGAGAGTTGCAAGCTGACGAAGCCATTTGAAGGATCACAACCTTCAGCCACTAATCATATGTGAAAGACAGCCAAATGTCATGAGAATCAGCGACAATTGTTCTATTATGCAGTACTAACTTTGTTTGAATACTAGAAATAATGAGAGATTAATTGAGGAAAATTACCAAAAACACGCATGCTGTTAAACCAAATTAAAACACAAGTATATCTTCAAATAATTTGAAAAAAAAATTACACTTAGTGGTGCTCTAATTAATGTTTCCACTCAAACATTCATGTCCCTCACCATGATTAAGATAATACAGAGTCATTGTTCTCATGTCCCCGTTGGGTACATTCCTCTGGAGTAGATTCTTGTAAAAACTAATTACACCCTACGGTAACCATTTCTAAATTTTACGCAAACAAGTTGGATCTATTTGACTTCCAAAAGTTGGCTAGTAATGAACATAGACTTTGGAGGTGCCATATACGCCGGTGGAATGAGTAAGTCACAAGCCATAATAGAAAGAATCGGAAAAGTGGTGGCTTGCCTCTTCCACCATTTCAGGTCCTCGAGGTTATTTTCAACAACTCTATCAATGGGCTTGGAGTAGCCTATTCCCAAGTACGTCTCCAATTCATTGGTAGATGATGAAGACAAAGACTTAGCAGGCTGTGGGGAGTTCTTCTACTTATGAAGCAAAGACCATATAGGTTTGTGGGCACTACTCAAAGAGGCCACGTTCTTTGTCCATGGCTTGCTGACTGGATTTAAAGCACTATTCATTGTCTTCTTATTTGGGCCACAGCTTGAAAAATAACGCTATCCATCGTCTCTTTCACTTCATTAGCAAGTAAAAAAGATCTTCAGATTGAATCTTTCCCGCCAGACTTCGCCATTTTGTTGTAATCCGAAGTTGTAGACCACTACTCGTCGAGAGACACCATGGATGAGATCCGCCAAGCTCACGACCAGAACCTCTTTTCTCAAACAATGGTGTCTTGAGATAGAGAGTGAATGGGGGGTGGGGGGTGAAAATTAGTGATTTTTTATGAGACAAAAAAAGTCGGGGCCAAAATTGTCACTCGACATAAAATTTGTGCTTTTTTTGGTAATTAGCCCAATGGAAAAGCTTCTATTTCGAAAAAAAAAAATATCATAGAGGATGTCTTTTTCCTTCTTAACATGATTGAACTCCCTCCTCTCCAATGCTCTTGGATTTGATTGTGTGACAACTGCAGCATGACTAATTTTGGTAGATGCAATTTGTTACCGAAAAAGACAGATTGGGCTCAATGTCAAACCACTAAAGCCATCTTAATTCAGAGAACAATTTGTTAAAGTCTCCACTTAAAAATGCCCACTTCAATTGAAGCATAATTTTCAGAGATGATAGGCATCAAAACATAAACCATGTGATCACATCAAGGAGCCGTGCCCTTCGCCAACAGGGAGGCTGTTATCATCCTTGAACACAAACATTGGTACAGTTCCTTCATTTATGAGATTGTTGTAGCCTTTTAAGCTCAAGAATACATCATAGGGATTACTTCCTACTCCTGTTGGTACCGGAGAGATGAACCTAAATGTAGATGCTCTGCCATTGCTCCTATTTTCTGCATGTGTATTGCTTCCACTCTTTTTCCTCGTCTTGAGAAGATTATAAGCGAACACCAAAAGAAGAATTGGCGCAACAAGCACCACAAAAGAAAGCCCCGAAATGAACTGATGCACTCCGTTATTTGCTTTGTTGTGGCTCTTCCCCTTATCCATGGAAGTCTTGATAGCAAATAGAAAAAAAAATGCCTTCTTGTAGAGCAAAAAAAAAAAAAAGGTTAACGTATGAACTGGACTTATGCATCAACTTGAAAAGATCAACGCCACATGCTCAGAGAACGAGTTGGACACATTATAATATATGAACATCAACTAACTAGTCTTCATATGGAGGTATTTCCCAAATTACTAGTACTTCATGTAGAGCCGATACTATCACATACTTGTTCTCCACTCGATTGCAACACTCAAAAATCGAAACCATATCGAGTATCGCTTTCTCTACTCAAGCTCGGCTCGATTGCAAAAGTCGAAATATTCAGGCTCAACTCGACTCCATCCTCACAAGGAAGTAGTGTTTTCTTTTTCGCCAAACAGTATGGTAGGTTTGGAAACCTATTTTTTCAAATTATCTGATGTTCGTTCTAGTGAAATGTGTACATAAACAAAGGCAAAAATGTAAATTAAGATAGGTATTACTCTGTCAATTTGCTGATTTACAGCTACAGATAAAAGAAATTGGAGATACTTCTCATGGGTCTATAACTTTAGCACGATATGCAAGTCCTCTCTGTCGCAAGGAGCCTTTACACATATGCCTATCCATCAAGGTCAAGAATGATTCAAACCCAGAAAAGAATAATGTCAAAAAGGCTCTCACCAAATGAGATGAACATCAATTTCAACCCAATGACCTTTTTTTAAGAAATTTTTTTGCTAACGATGTGATCTCTAGTTTCTTAAAATACTCGATTGATGTCGATGTTTATAACAGTTTTTTATTTTTTTTCAAAATTTGCAATTCTCATCTAGCTTTTTTAATGCGCAACATCGAAAGTTTCTTCAAATTATGTAAATATTGATGTATAGAATCACACATAATAAATTTAATGATTTTTTAAACTTCAAATAATTATTTTCTGTTTCAAATTTTGAATAGAGGCACAATCGATAGATAATTTTTCATATTTCTTCCCACCAAATAAACAAGCCCAACTTCCCGAGGGTGTATAGCGAAACCAAGATGACTTAGGAGGAGGGCCAAAATAGAACTTAAAACAAACTTCAGGTGCGAAAACGGAATTGTCAAAAGAATTAAGAAGGCAAAGGAAAAGCAATCAATCCAGCCATCGCTGGCAAGGTTTTTTGAAAGAGAGCACTTCGAAAGATGTACCTTTTGTTGACTGAGTAAGACATTCTGATCTCTCCAGCAAATCAGTTCAAATTACCCAACGAGGTTGTATTACTAACAAACTCATTATAAGTTGATGTAACTACTTCTATTAGTGGTTTTTGCTGTATCTTTGGATAATCAGATGTACTGACTGAAATAAGTGCTTGATATCTTTGAAGCTATTGGTCTGTGGTGCTGGCCAAGTCATTCCATCTGCACTAAACATTTTGTGGCCAAACCTAAAATACACACTTTTAGTAAGTTTGAATTCTACTGTTCTGTATGGACAAGTGATCATCGTTATGGATAATAACTTCTGCACCGACAATGCTGGAAATGCATTCACAGGGACAGCTAATTCAAGCTTTTACGTGCATTTTGGTGAGTCTACGTTTCAGTAGTACTTCCACCCAACCTTTCTTGTAGTACCATCCTCAAAGGGCTTCTCTTATAGATTTACAAGCATATGTAAAAGTTACAAAGTTAGGATGCTAAAACCATCATTGTTTTTTCTTCTGCAGATTCTCTTACATGTGACTGGTATAGCATTTTCATTAATATGGTAATTAGGATAATGGTATCTCTGATTTTGAACATCTTCCTATGGCGATGATTGAGCAGACACATAGAAGTTAGTTTCACTTGATAATAGAGGTCTTAGTTACACTCAGACGGAGAGAATTCGTGTCAATCATTTCCTACACTCCAGAAATACTTCTTCTGAGAAATTGACCTGCACAAAGTGTGTATTGATTTACTCTTAGTTCAAATGTGAATACGATCTGATTTTGCCCCTCCTTGTGATGCATTTATTAGACAGACGGAATGTGTTCGTTGACTCGAGGACCCAGCATTCCTGAAAAGATGCTTCAAGTGAGTAATCAAATCAGAACAGTGCAAGCTATAGATAACCAAAACAACTTAAGGGTGGGTGTAACCTCTCCATTTTTCGGAACCAGTCATGAATTCATCGTCAGAAATCCTAGAATCGCTCAGCACAAGTCGGGGCACCCTTCTCCCGACCAATGAAAAAACACTCGGAAATGAGAAATTTGGTTTTGTGGTCAGTCATATCTTTTGGTTTTAATGTTTTAGTGACAGCATGTATGTTCTGGAACTTATGCATATGTTGTATTTGCAATTTTCCTTATTTATTTAAACTACGTTTTCAAATTTTCAGGTGGCCAATACATCTGGCGTTGCTATGATCACCATAGCCTATGGTCCATAGGCCTCGAGTCCGAGTCAACAATCAGCAGACAAGGGACTGCTGTTTCTCCTATTGCGCCGGTTACTTTCCTTTATGGTACCGTCTAAATTCTAGAAGATTCAGCTATTTATAAATTATTTTTGGTGTGCATTGTCTATCCTTACACGGTTGCGAATGTCTTTCAGACTGTCGAAGACCAACTGTCAAGGATGAGCACAATCTCTGCTTCTAGGACGAGAGCACAATATCCCTATATCACTAGAGTTTGCTAAACCAGTATTCGGCTTCAATTCATCTAACATAGCAATAACAGGAGGTCATTTGCAGAGGTAAGTTCTACTTTAACATCCCAGCATTCTGCGCTCGTAAATTGAAATCAATCCAATTACGAGTACAAACTACTCGTACCTAGGAATACGGTCGTGCTGGCAGAAGATCAACATTTAAACTCGTGCGTCCCGGTCATAAGATATTACTTGTACGGCGGTTAGTATACAAGATACGGCATGTCGAATTCGTTCCTAGCAATATGTTCTCCAGCTTTTGCGAAATGAGCAGAAGCAAATACTCCACTGAGACTAGAGCAGAAGATGATATATAGTATCTGTGAATATTTCTGGAAATGCAACTGGGGATGTTGCTGGAAATAAGAACTTATCCGTGAGTATTTCTTTTTTCTTCGAAGCCCAAAAAGGGCTGGCGCCAGCTGCCAGCGAGCCGAGGTCCTTGCCAGTGGCTTTAAATATCTGAAATTTAAAGCAGTTCTAATTTCTTTATTGGTCGAAAAAGTAGTTCTAATTTTAAACCCTCCTCTTCGCAAACGCAAAAACACCCTTTCTCTCTCTCTCTCTCTACCGTACTACCTGCCGACCCCTGCAATGATGGCGTCCTCGACCTCGGCTCTCCTCCCTCCCCAATGCCCGGAAGAAGAAGAGAGGCAAAGTACAGGCTCAAGCACCTCAACACCCACTTCAACAACAACCTCTCCCCCCTCCCTCCTCCTCCTCCTCGCCTTCGTCTCCCCCGTCTCGCCGTCGCACCACGCCCTCTCTCTCTCGAGAGAGAGAGAGAGACTAGCGATCGGTACCATTCCGTTCCTACTCGTGCATCATCAATCGATCGATCGAATCGCGTCGAACAAACACAGGTTGAGATGAGATTCCGTGGAGGATCGGGGGGTTGGAGGAGGTAGAGAAAGCTCGGTTGCTGACCTTGGCTCTCGAGTTCGGCTTCGACGAGCAGTCCGCCACCAACTGCTTGGACCGTCTCGTTTCCCTCTACGGTGCTCCAATCATTTACTTCGTCGCCCGTTTTTTCATGCTGAGATTAGCGTTTGCAGAGGTTATGTGGGTATTCCCATCGTCCACCGCGATGATTATGACTGTGGAATAGCCATAATCATTGGGGGAATGACGTAATCGCTTGTGCTGCGTGGATAATTTGTAAATTGATCGATTGTGCATTCCCCTAAATAAGGCGATTTATTGCGGTCAGTTGTCGTTCTGATGATGGCTATGGAATAGTCTTGCCTTTTGGATTTGAATGGACCGGAGGAGCTGGTTAAATCTAGTTCACTGAGCGTTAATCCCGTCCCTATTTCTCTATGGGTTTTGCAGGAGTAGTCTTATTGACTAGCGAAATGTCTCGACTTATTTCTGAACTGACCGCAGATTTACATGTGGTGTCTTGCCTACATATAAATATGGCATCTCACTGAAGTAACTGCAGATTACATATTGTAGATTGTATATATTCTGATCTCTTTTTTTCTTGTCTTGGAACTTGCAAAATCATCTCTCTCTCTTTTTGGTCTTCTTAAGGCGACGAAGGTCGAGAGTTTATCACTGTGGAGCACTGTAGCGATGATTTTCTAGCAGAACTTGCCGAAACTATGAGAGATACTGAGGATTGGGATGATTTGCAAGCTGCAGAATCTGAAGGTTGTGAAGTTTTGACTGACATGTTTGGCCAAGATATCCCTAATGAGGGCGAATGCAGTGTTGCACACGATGTTAATATTATAGAAGATTCTCCACAACCTGAGAAAAATCAAACTTTTCTTGAGGTAGATTCCTCCACTGGCAGTGAGGATGAAGATGATATATTTGGCAGTAAAATGGAAAGGAAATCCATATGCTATATTCCTGATCAAAGCAGTACTCCGAGCAATTCATCCACTCAACTTCTGGCCAGATGATCTTTAGAATCCATGGTATGCTTCTGAAAACTGTGAAGTTGTCTCACTCCTTTCTGCACCCACCAGTTTGAAGGGATTAAGAAAAAGAAAGAAAAGCAGGGTGGCTTGGCATGTTTTTTCCCATGCCCAAAACTAATTTGGTTGATAGTTGTTAAGTTTGTGGCTTGAGTTTTGATTCATGGACCTAGATTTGGCTTGGGATTGGCCCGTGTAATTGCATGGACCAAACACGCGGCTTGAAGAATGTCTCAGTACTGTACAGGGTTAGCCGTTCGGTGAAGCAATTGTGGACACCTGAAGAAGCCACAATAGTTACCGGGCAAATCCCAGGAGTCTGGCCACAATGGTCCAGTTGTTTAGGAGGTTGACAAAAAGTTGGCAGATCTCATCACGTCTTTTTGTTCTTTTAACAATGATTCTTCAAACCATATTTTTATATATTTTTGTTGTTGAGGTATATTGGGGCCAACAAAGAAAATGAGCAGAATTGAAAACAGATTGTCTTGGTTATTGATCGGTAGAGATCAGTGTGTCCTTCTGAGAAAACTCTTGGGAAACGCTTTCCACTCGTCTCATTCGTTTTTGATTGACTCTTGCAATTGGGGTTTTGGTGAGTGAGAAATTGATTTATTTCTTATTGTAATTCACTCTTGGTCATAGTGAAACAACTCCTCCCATTGACGTAGACGAAACTGCCCAAACTCTTAAATTAGTGTGTCACTGTTCTTTGCTCTTAAAATCATGTCGTCCTTGCTCATTTCAAGTTTGCTTGTAATTCAGCTCACAGCAAAGGACCTTACGCAGGATACCTGTACAAAAGCATTTGGTAAATTGCTTATGAGGGCTCTCATCCGATCATATGTATAATAACTTTTGCTAGTTACTTCCACAGTCTTTAAGATCTAAAATGACTTATATTAGAACTGTTTGGTCAATAAAAACAATTGATTTTTGTTTTATATGATGTAACAATACCTATATTTCTTAAATATTTTGAGAGTATAGTACATCATCCAAGTGTGGAACTTAGCATCCAGCTTCTTTGATAGGAGAGTTTTGCAAAATGAAGGCTTGAGATTTCTTTGTGCACAATTTTCATGTTCCATCGCTCCATGTCAGAAACTATTTATGGTGCTGAAGAGGCTTATTTGTGTTGAAGGACTGTAAGAGCACTGTCACTCAAGGTTCGATATCATCAGTTTCAAATAAAAGACATTGCTCTCGGATTTTGACATGCAAAGGAATTGCAAGCCTTGGATGACATAGAATTGGAAAAATGTTGTAATATTCGGAAACAAGGCATTTCAACTAATGCAGCATCAGGCTTGTAAACCTTCTGTAGCCAAGCAAGATTGCTTCATTCTCATGCCCACTAGAGGTGGTAAAAGTTTATGTTACCAGGTTAGTGAATGTTAACATTATTTCTTTTGTGTAATGATCGTATGTAGAAATATGTGTGGAGACAATGTTTAGAGCGCAAGCCATGTGCGTTTTGCTCAATGGTTCCACCAATTAAATGCTAGATGGGTAGACCTGTAAATTGAAATTTAAGCTTTAAAATGATCTTGTAATCTGCTTTGTTAGCACTGTTGAGAAGTTTGTGCTTAAACTTAAGGAAGAAAATGTTTTCCAAATGCAACTTAAGCGATAGGAAGTGATTCAAGTACATAACTATGGGTTCCAATGTATGGGATCGGACTAAGTTGGAAAAGAAGGAAATACTGGACATTCTCATTCTGCCTATGCACATCTCTATCTATTCTGTAATTTCTAGAGTTTGAGCTTTGTGCTATGCTTCTAGGACCTTCTAATTACTTAATGGAAAATTTATCTTGTTTTTGCATGTAAGTGTTGTTGTCAGTCATAGACTCATAGTTCAGGTCCAATTCAAACGGGTTATTAAGTCAAAGAGGAATAAGTTTTCAAATTACTTGCACCAAATACTGATTGTAGATATCTATATTTCCTATGCAGGTATGTGCAATGTCATCATGTCAACTATGGGTGATCATTTCCCATAATTAGTTTGAAATTGATGGCCTTTCATATAAATCTGAATTGATCTACTGAATCACGAAGGAAGATATTAATCTCAATTGATTAAGTTGAATTATCCTGAAGTGTTTTCTGTTCAGTCTTGAAGAAGTTGATATATCTTTCTAGCTGAAGTAATTATAAAACAAATATCAACTGGTGCTTTCTGATCAGTTGAAGGTGAATAAAAGAATAATTCCCTCATCTCTTCCTTTCTTCATGTGCTCTTCTGATGTTTTTACATTTCGTTTCAGCTGCCAGCAACTCTTAAACCAGGTGTCACAGTTGTTATATCTCCCCTGCTATCTCTCATCCAGGATCAAATAATTACTCTAACCCTCATGTATGGAATACCGTCTACTTTCTTGAACTCTTACCAAACTGCTGCCCAAGCAGCGGCTGTCCTCCAAGAACTAAGGCAAGGTTTAGCGCTCTCTCTCTCTCTCTCTCTCTCTCTCTCTCTCTCTCTCTCTCTCTCTCTCTCTCTCTCTCTCTCTCTCTCTGCATTCCTAGAGAAGTATATCATACCATACAATCTTCATCCCGCCATTAAATGGCTATGCTCCATATGTTGCAATGGATGCACATTTTTTATGTAGTTAATGAAAAGATTCATGCCTGAGATGTTTGCCTTAAAAATAAATTTTAGGATCGTAGTTTTTTCTGGAGAAGTATATCATACAAGACAATCTTCATCCCGCCCTAAAATGTTGGGCTATGCTCCATATGTTGCAATGGGGTTTCGACAGGACTTCTAAATTTTTTTTTTCTGAGTGTTGTGATTGTCAAGTCATTGATCTTTACTGCTTTGCCTGTCTTTTCAAGAAAGATAAACCATTGTGCAAGCTATTGTATGTAACTCCTGAAAAGATTGTGGGAAACCCATCATTTCTTGAGATATTGAAATGCTTGCATAGAAAGGTACTTTTTCTGATTCACTGTAACTTTTTCTGAAAGTTTCTTTTTTAACTTTTTGATACTCATCCATCATGCATTGCAGGCACAACTTGCTGGTTTTGTTGTTGACGAGGCACATTGTGTGAGGTATGCTCTTTGGCATCCTTGTATCTGAAGCAAAGGTCATACTAGAGTTACTTCAAAAGGAATAAGTATTTTGATGTTGCCACTGCAAAACTACTGTCCTTGTTCCAGATAAAGAAAAGCAAGTTGACTTTTATTTATGCTCGCTCTAACTCTTTTTTTCGAACGTTTTCACATTTTCTGTGTTTCTAGCCTTTCTGTGAAGTTCTAGCATAACAGAATGCAATGTTGAAATAACTAATTCTGGAAATGATCCAGTTCCTTCTTTTGGGAAAAGTCAGTGACACATCGTTAATCATATTAGGCAAAATGCACACAACTAAAATAACCTCCAACGGAAATCACTTTTGGAAGTAATTGGAAGTGTTCATGTTTGGCATGATATTCAGGTCTTTTAAGCTAGTTCTTGTGTCTGTATCTATTCTTTTAACCTTTATACTATATATTAACAACTTGACATATAAGGCAAAAGTTTGCCCATGTGATCATTGATTGTGTTTCTTATGAGGTCTTTACTGGATTTGCAGTGCCAGTGCCATCTCATGAAAGGAATGTACTGCTGGTTTGAGCTTTTCTCATATACTTGAATGATTGTAAACTAGTAAAGCTTATTGACTGTTACTTTCTTGGTTGTCATTATTGCAGTCAATGGGGTCATGATTTTCATCCAGATTATAGGGGACTGAGATGTCTCAAACAAAATTTTCCATACGTCCCAGTGATGGCCATAACTGCAACTGCCACTCAGCCAATTCGTGAGGTACGAAACTTGCACAATAACCTCCAGATTATGTTGAAATAATCATTTGGGACTGATTGAAATGTGCATCCATCGCAGTATATCCTAAAAGCTCTCGGGATCCCCCATGCTCTCGTTCTTGAGACAAGCTTTGACAGACCAAACCTAAAGTACGAGGTCATAGCTAAGACCAAGGAGCCACTGAAGTAGCTTGGAGAGCTGCTAAAGAATCATTTTGCTAATTTTTGTGGCATAGTATATTGCCTCTCAAAGAGTGAATGTGTTGATGTTGCAAAATACTTGAATGATTAGTGCGATATAAAGGCGGTGTACTATCATGCTGGATTAGCAGCCCATCAAAGAGTAGCTGTTCAAAAGAAATGGCATAATGGAGAGATCCAGGTTGTATGTGCTACCATTGCTTTTGGGATGGGAATAGACAAACCAGATGTGGTAAGTTGAAATGGACTCCGGTCCTTTGCCTATTTTTAGTTTTAGAATCAAACTGACGTGTTGACAAATACTCGACTAATCCACTTTTCTTCTAATGTTTAAGTTTCACTAATTGGTTTCTTAGTGTGCTTGGAAGTAAACTTTGCTAGTTCCATGGTCCAGTGGCCTGCTAAATCGTCGATCTTGGCTATTGATTGCAGGAACTAGCGAATTATGTATTTTTTCAAGTCAAATTCTTTCTTCCATGCATGGAACTTGGGTGTGCTGAAATTAAGTTAGACTAGGATAAAGGTCCTTTCTTTACTGTCAAAGTGGCAAATGACTCTGATCTAACTTGACCTTAAGTTATAATGTTTTTGTCACATTTCTACTTTTTTTATTGGTTCAGTAATTATTTTTTTTTGGCATGTGGTCAGCGTTTTGTCATCCACAACACAATGTCCAAGTCAATCAAAAGCTATTACCAAGAATCAGGGAGGGCAGGAAGAGATAGTCTACCGGCAGTGTGCATTGCTCTATATGCCAAAAAGGATTTCAGCTGGGTTGTGTGCATGTTAAGGAGTGTTCAAGGATGTAAAACTGCTATCTTTAAATCTGCAATGGCTCAAGCTAGGAAAATGCAGCAATATTGTGAACTCAAGGTAATTTAATTTGTGTTCTCAACTTCTCATTAATGATCTCAGCTAAGTGATGCTTCTATTTTGTGTTTCAACTTTCCACTTTGTTGTATTGATTGTTGTTAGTGTTAGTCTGGCATTTACCATTCTGGGTGCTGAATCATTAGATGGTCTGTCGGCAACATATGTAAATCATAATGGAACCTTTGGGCTAAACTCATCTTCCACGTACCTGAATGGAGCAAAGTCTACTGATAAACATGTGTTAACTCTCTAATTTGTGAAATTTTCAGGATGAGTGTCGGCGGCAAACCTTACTTGCACACTTTGGTGAGTCTTTGGATCGGAAAGACCGTAAATACGGTTGTAATCCTTGCCACAATTGTCTCCAAGCCTCTTCGTAAAGGTAAACCTTTCAGGTGTCATCTCTTGATGGGCGACGGGTACCGACTTACGCATGTTCTTGAGCCGCACAGTTCTTCTGGTTCCATCATTCGCAATTATTGGAAGACCACATGGTAATGGAGGAGCAAAGGTCCTTAACTAAGGATACAGAATTCTTCAGTTGTGATGGTCTTGTCATCTCATGTTTGTCTTTTCCTTTCATCTGTTGCTATGTTCTTTGTCTGGAACTAATTATTTTTGTGAGGGGAACAAAAATGTGGCTCAACATATAAGCCGGAGAGGCATATGGGAACACACCATCCGGTCTTGACTGAGGAAGAAAAAGTTACATGTTTCAGTTGAGCGAAGATTAACAATGAAATCCAATTATACAATCACACGTTGCCTTTCTTCTTCTTTCCCGTTTTGAATTAGTGATGAACGCATATCATGACTGCATCTGAAGTTGGTTTACTTGCAGATTCAATTTTTCAAGTCATATATCTGAGGATACAATCGACTGGTTGAGAACCTTTATTAGGGTGTAATCATTAGTTATCCAACTATTGAACACCGCCGGCTTTCTGGTCATCAAGCATTGCACAGGTGGACTGCATTATTCAAGTCATTAGTGGACTGGGGATCTTAGATCCACACTATGTAATAGTTTTTCACAGAGAGCACGTGACAATGCATCTATGATTTGATACTTAGGGATTTAACATGGTTTTATTTTTCCTGGGTCAGGCACAACGTTAGATTCATGTTGACTAGGACGTGTCAACGTTAGATTCGAGAGAGAGAGACTATGGATCGATTCGATTCTGACTCATGCATCATCGATCGACCGAATCGCTTGAAAAGGTTGAAATTCCATGGAGGAGCAGGACTTGGAGGTAGAGAAAATTGTCTGATCTGTTGATGATGATGGCTATGGGACAATCAACTTTGGATTTGAATGGGAATGTAGCTGATTAAATTTAGTTCATGGAGTTGAGATTAAAATTGTCTGATCTGTTCTTCTCTACTCGTTTCTAGGGTTCTTTAACCACTCCTCATTTCCTTAGTTCGTCTATTTCGATTCCTCTTCGTTGTTGTACGATTCAGCATATGGCAATGTATGCTACCGAAGCTACATAATCTAAAAATGCACGTATGCGGGTGTTAAACAAACCAAAAGGCTTTCCATTGTTCCATTTTGATTTGAGGACAGTTTTCATATTTCTAGTATCGTCCCAGCGAGCTCGGAGTTACAAAAATGAGGAAAACCTAAAAGCCCCGGAAGCGAAAGTTCTTGTGTTCTTTCAAAACTTTCACAGTTATTGTTGCTGTTATTTATAGGATCTTGATGTAAATTGTGAACAAACTTTCGAAACAAAGCTCCAAACAAATCGCTAGCACGTAATCGGCTCAATCGGTTTGACTCGTTCATCCAATTTTATTCGGTTGATTCACGGCCGTCCAACTTCAAATCATTTCAGTCCATAAGGTCGTGACTAATGCTGTATATGCAGTCAAACACAAAGCCGTTGCCCTTTGGATTAAATGCCTGGGCACTGGTTAAGCAACTAAGGAATCAAATTGCACAACCAAATACGTTGACTCTACTTGCCACTTTTTGTGTGTTAATCCTAATCAATATTCTGAAAATTAAGTTATTTTACGCTAAGTATGTTTAACAAGTGACTTGACACGTTAACATGGCCGGCAGTATATATGGCTTTAGTACTAAAAAGTAGACAACAAGCTCATCAGACTACGAGTATACCTTGCAAGTAGCTTTTAACTACTAAAATTCCATTAGTGTAGTCCAGTTCATGGTAGGAGAATATCTGGGAGTGACTCCAAAGAAATTGCTTCGATTGAAACTCAAATGCATGTCCGATGACCACAATTTGGCGTAGCAGAGTCAAAGAAGTAACCAATTAGATGACCCTTCGAAGTTTTTCATTCAAACCAAATGAGTACAAATTCTGGAAGTGGCTATTTTCACCCTACCACTGTAGCCAAACGCCAAAGAAAATTCGGTTTCAAGATCCGAAAATGTACGGCTGTGCCTCTTCTGCTTTATATATTCATGCGTAAATAAATCGAGTTTGAAAATTATACGACTGAAGTGATTGCAAAATGCCAATATATAAATTTTTCAGCATAACCAAATCAAGGAGATGATTGTAGGCTGATGAACACTTCTATTTTGTGTTCAAAATTCTTCCAAATGAGAAACTTCTGTCATATTGAAACCTTTTCGTTGGGACTCTTGGCTGCAATTGACATATTATGTGCTGAGTCCACAACATTTGCTTTTTCCATGAAAAAAGTCTCTTCCGGTCACAAGATTGTGGCTTGAAGTGGACATCTAAACGGTGATCTTGTTAACAAATTTGATTTTATGCTTAACGTCACATACAGAACCACCTGCACATGCGGCTTCTGCAAGCATTTTGGGATTCGGCCAAGCCAAAGAATAGCACGATTCAAAGCTTGCAAACGACAACTACACACCCTGAGAAGAGGTCGTTTAATGTCAATGATCCTATGGAGACGGTTAACAATACGCAGCACATGATAAAAGACAATATTGAAGTAACTTTGGAACACCATGACATGGCTCATGCCAGCCCGCATCTCCATCCTGTGGTGTTTGGAGACTTTCTCCTGAATTTCAAGAAATGCAGCTTGAATCTACACAAGAAGGATGGGATTAACTAATTGTCAATAATTGAAGAAATTTGAGACTGTAGCATCACAATTTACCCCATGAAAGATAAGGTACAAATGCATAAACATTATTTGCACCAATCGCAGTTGGACCGCAATGAACAGAGACTTTGTTAGCTGGCCGAGGAAAAAGGAAACAACAGGCTTCGGAGAAGTAAGCAATTAGCAACACTTTCCTTGTTTGTGTTTAGGAACAGAATTTTTGTTAATAAGATTATGCTGAAAGGGTGAAGTGCCTCAAAAGATGTAATTGTTGACTTGGTTATTTCGCAGTGCCCAATTAGCAAAATCAGCAATATGCAAAAGTTTGCCAGGAGGTGAATTTTAATTTCACAAACTCAGTATCCCATGCATGAGAACCGAGCTTATTAAATCAGAAACATATATGACAACATTCAAAGGATATTATCACACTAATAAACTTATAGAAAATCAAGGAGATTGTCATCATGCATCCTTGTATACTGATTTTCAGGTGAAATGTGCAGCTCCTATAGTATAAGCACACGAGTTAGTCTTTCATAGTTACGGTACGACTGGTAGTGCATACCTCCGTCTGCAGAGCCTCATCGAGATCGGGAGTGATATCATTAGAAAGCAACTGCATCAAACAACTCTGCATCAAGGTAACATATAGAAAAATCAGCAAGTAGGTATTAGATTAATTAGAGATGTAAAACCTAATGAGCATACAAAAAGCAGATTCAATCTAGAAAACTACACTCACAAGCATTTAGGAATGTACTGTTGAGACTTGATCAGGTGTTTGGATGTTCACAAGCATCAAAACTTCCTCAGTACAATCCAGTTGGCCCACGAGCCTCTTCATGGTTGGCACGCAAGATGGTCGTCAGCTGTTGCTGATTCTTCCTCTGCAAAATCCCTCTTCATTTTGATTGGGCTCTGGTATGAAACTTGAAGTTCCTCTGCCAAGTTAGCCAGACCCAGATCAATGATGTGAGAAAACGATTCCATGACAACAATAGGATCAAACGGGATGCAAACTAATTAGCAAATTCTTGAGCTCCTCACCCCAGCTTGTTTCACAGAACGGGCAAAATATTGTCCCAATTATGTACAAGGTTATCGATACAACTCATTGAATCGAAGTCCAATAGTAAGCCTCAGTCATTACATAGACTAACCAGACCCATCACAAAAGCAACACCAGTTTGCCTTTGCATGATAATCTTTCAAAACAACAGCTTTGAGCTGGTCTACAATTATATATGACAGACTAGTCAGAACTACTTTTCATTTTTTTTTATCACCAACCAGAGAAACTTGAAACTTGACTTTTATTTTAGCTCAGTTTCTCATACTTACTGGGAATTCATGCTCTGTCATGTAAGATTCAAGAGGAACATCAAGGGAACCATAAGAAACTTGACCGGGTTTTTGATCACCAGAGAAAATTGAAAGGTTTTTGTTCTGAACAAGATATCTGTCACTAGCCAAATCTGACACACAAAAATACTCACAAAGGAACTCAAAATGGGCCAGGATTTTTTAACAAAAAATATGAATTTTGGACATAGGGAAAAATGGACTTTGGGAGCAGTTTATAATATTTAGTAGAAGATCATCGGCCTCTAGATGAAAGATTCAAATCCCGGGTTTATCGAGAGGGAAACTGTAAATCACTAGGGAATTCTTGTTTACCTATCTTTAATATTTTCATCCTTGCCTCACTAGCCGCTAATCTGTTTGCAGTCTACAAAAGCTGCCAATGGAAGGATAAATGAAAAACATTACTATAACGTAACCAACAGCAGTAATGTAGGCAAATCAGAGTTTCCAAAATCAATCAAATAGATACTCGGTGTGGAGAAAATCATTCTTAAAAAATAGAGCTTCGAGAAAAGTATTACTCTATTCGCTCACGCTAGCCATTCAAGGACGAAGAATCTTACTAGAAGACCAATGCCTTCAATTGACATTTGGGTCTACATTTTGATCTTGGCTGAAGCATCATGTCAGCATCTATGACCAACTCCCCCACTCCTTCAATTATGTAAGACTAGCAATTTAGGAAAGTACAAAACCCTGTCATGGAAATCATTCTTGTCAAAAAAAGATAGTGATGAAAAGTAGGTCATGAATCTCAGAAGAAAAATGATTGTTCACTTCTTATTTACCTCTGTTGAGGAAACATCAATCACTCTCTGTTCAGGAATCATCACTCCATGAGTCGTAAGATAGCTCTAGTTCATAATTTCTAAAGACGCATGTTCCGGATAATTTCGGTATTGCTTCCAATGAGTCACAATCAGAGATATCCAAATCAATTAAATCCAACTTTTCAAGTCCCCGAAGCTAAGTAAGTTTCTCGCAATCTTGAACTACTAGATATTGTAACCTCTCACATCCATTCAAATCTGGCAAAGTCTCCATTGATTCACATCCTATAACATTCAACGCTTCTAAGAACTTCGCATCATCAAGACCTCGAATTTCAACTAGATTGTCGCACCAGGCAGCCACTTATTTCTTCAAACACGTTGATTCTGGACAGAGAAGCCTTTCAATGGAATCGCAATCATATATAGATCTGCCCTTCAAGAGCTCCAAATTTTCAAGGCCCTGAATTTCAACTAGGTTATCGCAATCCTCAACACATAATCGTTTCAGACGAATTAACTGTGAAAGGTCCAATCTTTCAATTGAACTGCAGCTTTTTATTGAAAACGTTTCCAAGTTCTTCAATCCGTCGAGCTTAAGCAATATCAGCTTATGACACTCCACAATATAGAGTTTCAAGAGTCTCGAGGGAAGCTCGGGGATGTCTTCAAGTAGATGGCATTCCCAAAGACAGAGTTTTTCTAGGTGGATTAGGCTAGAAAGCCGTGGCAGCGACCGAAGCTTGTCACAGCGATGCAGCTCAAGGCGCTGGAGCGAAGAAAGATCCCCAATAGCATTGGGAAGCTTTTCAAGCCGAGAATAACTGACGTCCAGAAATTGCAAATTCTTTAAATCCCCAATTGAGCTAGGGATTTCTCTCAGTGACTCACACCTGTAGGCATTTAGTTTCTTCAGCTTCCTCAGAGAACCAATAGACGTAGGGATCTCTGTAATACCAGAATACTCTAATTCAAGTTCTTCTAAATCTTTTAATTCGCCCACTTCCTCCGGTAGCTCCTTGAGACGTCGACATTCCCTCAAGTCTAAGGAAACGAGGCTCTTGAGTTTGCCAATAGAAGGGTGGAGATACTCCAGATAGATACATTCAGTCAAGATGAGAATCTTCAACCGTGTGAAAGCTGAGAGATCAGGAGTACATCTTAAACAATAGCACCATCTGAGGTTGAGAACTTGTAGCCGCTTTGCCGTCTACACAAAAAAGAGGAGAATAAAGCTGTCAAAAGAATGAGTGGGGGATCGGCTAAACAAAAACAAAACCCCATCTTAAATCACGAAGAGTGGGCGGATGTCTCTTTTTTTTTCCCCAATCTTACCATGAATGAACTCCTCCATCTTTCCCAATCCTCTGGGAATATGCTCCCTGATAATTCCAACACCAATAAGTTCGGTAGATGCAAACTGGTCGTGGGAAGAGGTGGATCGTCTCCCAAGACGCAACATTGATAAATTCGGCAGATGCAAATTCGTTGGAGTCCCCGCTTGATGTTGCTCCATGATAAATCCAGCACTGATAATTTCGGTAGACGCAAATTGGTTGTCGGAAGAGGCGGATCGTCGTCCCAGACGCACCATTGAAGCCATCTTACTTCAGAAAGGAGTTCGTTAGAAGAGCCTCCGCTTGAAGCTGCCCGCATCCAGTCACGGAACCAGGGGCTCTGCAAGTATTTTAAAAAAAAATGACCGAATCCTTTTCAATTCCCAGTTATATCCAATCAATCCGTTGAGAGTCTCTACATTGACTTTTTAACTTTTTAACTTTTTATTTTTTTAAAATCTCGGATGTGCAAAATTTGTTATCTTCTTATCACTCCCGTACATAAATACAGACATGTGATTTAGCATTTAATTTTTTAAAATAGTTATTGCTTTAGAACAGCTAAGGCAAATGCACCTCAATGTTTTATCTTTTGCTCTCTTTTTTCAAATTATATGGCGCGTGCACTTTGAATTTTATTTAAGACGAAATACATGAAACCATTTTACAACATATAAATGTTTACATGTAAATTTTCATATGACTTGTGTATAGTTTTTCAAAAGAATTTGTCAAAGAGTTCTAGTGAGCCATCTTCAAGTAGCTAAGGAAGGACCCAGTTTTCATTTCATTAATTATTTCTGTAAAGTGTTTAATCATTTCTTTGAAAACTGAATTTTTTTTTGTCAAGTATGTTTAAAAAGGTCCGTGGCGGCATTGGTTAGCAATGCACCTTTTATTTTAAGCAATATCTTTAAGCAAAGCCTGCCATATGAAAGTTTCTAGATAACTCTACTTATTTTTATTTACCAAAAAAAAAGTGAAGACACAAGAATGGCACCGTTTCTTTTTGCATCTTATAAGTCAAAACATACTGTTTAAGTTTCCTGCTAAAACAGATCATTTAATTAGTTGAAGATGGTGAAAAAAATCCCATATGGCTTTGATTGACTTTACTAATAATACCTATATTTTACCCCAAAAGTTTAATTGGTTAGAATTGTTTTTTTTTTGTTGGTTTGATTCACTTTTACAGTTCGACTCGTTTATTGTTATCTCTACTTTAAATATTAAATAGTGAAAAAATTGCAACAGGTATAATTTCTCTTAAGTTTATTAGTAGGAAAAGTCACTAAATTGTTGTAATCATCATCCCACACCATCTTTCATAATTTTTTATTGTACATCAATCTATAAGGTATATTATATTAAAAAAATATATTATATGGAAAGGTGACTTCAAACCTCAGACTTTCATCAAAAGTTTCCACGCAATTGGCTTATATTTCGCCAAAATTAACTGAAGAAATCGGAAATAACAAAATAGACAATTATATTTTAAATAGTCGAGACAATTGGAAATTTGTCCCATAAATACTTCATTTTCCAAAGTTAAATCAAAATCTCTCACATCTTACAATCATTCAATTTTTTTCCTACACTAATTATTATCTTTCAACATTTTTTCTGTTCAAAACAGATTTGACACTTTTTTCATTTTTCAAACACCTGTATTGTGTTCTCTCTTTGCTAATGTTAAGAAGTTATTGCATCAACAAAAGAGTGTGATTATTGAATCATAGGAACAAACTATTTCAAATTATATCAAGAATATAAAGTCGTTTCCTTTGCTCAACATCTCTTAGTTAATTGCTAGGGTTAATTCCTTGCCATTGTTCAGCCATGAGCCTATGACAATATTTAATAATAAAATGACACGATCATTGATAATTTAAGTAAAAGATAAAACATAGTCGAAAAAATTGGCTTCGTGCTGAAAATCATATATAACGAATACAACGGTATGAATATAATAATAAGCACGACATTTCCTCTAATTAGTCAAGTTTTCTTCTTTTTTTTTTAATAGTCAAGTTAGTCTAGCGGTTTTTGGCACAAAAGAGGCATTGTCCCAAAAAATATAAATAATATAAAACTTATAGCGGACAGAAATGTTTGTCATAAGAAATGAGCAAGGTAAACGTGATAAAAACTTAAAAAACAGTAAGATTTTCTTGAAAATATTTTAAAGGGTATTTTTGCTATCTTATCTATTAAGAGGAAATAAAAATGAAAAGAGATAGAAATAACTAGTAGGGCATAGGGATGGGTATCTTCACAATCAAAATGGAGAAAAAAAATAAATAATTGGATTCCTAAATCACAGGAGCACCACGCTACATTCGGATACTTATAATTGGCCCTAATACATATTATTTGCCGATTCCTAAATTTTTACGGATGTAATTTATATCAATGAAATCGAATCAAATGATTTAACTCTTTCATCTTTCGAATACTTATAATTTATTTAGTTGTCACGATTAATAAACGATGGACATAAATGGATGTTTACACAAATTTTTTTCCTAGAAAGTAAGAGCATCTGTTCATGCTAGATGAAATACTAGAATTGATCAGATTAAATATATTAAAATAAGAGGGAGAGAAAAAGAAAAGAGTGTCATATTTTACCCATTCTTCCCGTACTACTCTCAAGGCTCCGTTGTAGTTACAATCCCATAGCCCGCTACGTTTGTCAAGCTGTTGTCTTTGACAAAAAATGCTCCTTCCAAGATCTCTTAGTTGATCATGCATCATAAACTCACCATCATCTCCAATTTTAATTAAGCACCTCAACTTCAATTCTTCAATTCCTTGATTTGGATAAAACCCACAGCCCTCCCACATGTACATGGCGAATTTGTGCACTTCGCTCCCTTTGCCAATAAAGAAACAACCAATATCGAGAAAAATCTGCTTATGTCCATCTTCTAATGCATCATAACTTATTTTCAATATCTTCTGGACTTCTTTATGTGGTTGGCCTTCTAATTGCTTCCACACATCTTCCCACACTTTTCGATTCGTTTTTTTGTACAAGTATGAACCTACAACCTGAAGTGCCAAGGGAAGCCCACCCATGGTGGATATGATATCACGAGATATACCGTCAAAGTCTCTCGGAGAATGGTCCATACGAAATGCGTGTCTGTTAAATAGAAGTAAAGCATGCACCTCATCCAATCCATACAATTCATACTTGTAGTCTACCTCGAATTCAGATTGATCAAGAACGGCTTCATTTCTAGTTGTAACAATGATCATACTTCCTACCGCAAACCAATTATGTTCCCTAGCCAACGCATCTAGTTGATTCTTGTCATCTATATCATCCAGAAGAATGAGAACCTTTTTTCCTTTGAATCTAGATTTGATTGTATTAATTCCATTGTCAACATTCCAAACTTCAGGTTCGATTTGCAGAATTTCCTTAATTAGTTGCTTTTGTAAATAAGGAATACCGTTGCGGCAAACTGTTTCTCGAATATCTGCAAGGAAGCTGCGATGCACAAAGTCATTCGACAGCCAGTTATAGATTACCTTGGCAAGTGTCGTTTTTCCGATCCCGCCCATGCCATAGATTCCAATCATTCGAGCATTAGTGGTAGGAGTGTCTACCCAATTCCTGATTTTGTTCACATGATCACCAATTCCAACTAAGTGCTTACTAACATCAAGCTGAAAATCTTGTTGCAACTCGCTCAGAACCTTTTTCTTAACTTTTTCCACTAATTCTCCTTCATGCCTGTCCAACAACAAAACTCAATTGATAATTTCGTAATTATACTTAATCTCATCAAAAGACACCAACATACATGTGAAGAATGGATGGGGCCAATTAACATGCAAGATGTTTTGGTTTCACAAATAACAATGGGGGATGATAGCTAGTGGCCGTTTCATTTTTTTCTCTTTCGTTAGATGGATCTTGTTGAAATAGAATAAGACGGTGCACCTGGCTCGTTAAGAGTCTTTAGAGTATAATATCTGTTATAAGGCTTAAGATTGTTGCTAGTTGAATGATAGGAGATTGATTTTTTTTATTAAAAAAAGTTTAGGAGAAAAGGAGGTTACTCCACTCTAAGGCTAGGGCAAGACACATGTCTAAATTGAGGACTTATAGTTGATTTACAGATCGCTACCAATGGGGTTTACTGATAGTGGAAATCAAACCTAGACATGATAAATGTGAAGTAAGTGCCCAGTCCTTTTCAACTGAGCCGACTTTCATTGGCATGAGGAGGTCTATTGTATCTGGGGGTGATAAAGCTTCGGAAGACTGAACACTCGAGTCCTTTCTAAGCGTATTGTTTGGTGAATGATACTATTGACCGGAGGGGTTGTCATTTCTTTGATTTTTGCTCCGTTGGAAACCATTGTGATTCATCTGTTTCACATGAACAAGAAAACTCACTTATCAAAAAAGAAAAGTTCAGGCGGAAGCAAAGTACCCGTTAGCAACTTTCTCGGATTCCCATCCATGTAAGTCACTCACTTCTCTAAGTGCTCGCTGCCCTTCCTGGATATCCTTCTCATCAAAATGCTTTTTACGCGAATGGAATGCCTCCCCAAAACTTCCTTTTAGATACCGCACATCTGATGGGTCCACTTTGTAAAAGATGGGCAACACTATGTGTGATGTGCTCTTCTTGCGGTCCATGATATGAATGAGCTCGCGGAGGCACCATTTGCTCGAAGCATAATTTTCAGAGATGACGGGGATCGAAATCTTAGACCGTGTGATGGCATTGAGAATCTTCGAACCAAATTCCTCACCAATTGGTATGCTGTTATCATCCCTGAACACGCAAATCGGTACAGTCCCTGCCTCGATCAAACTATGGTAGAGGTGATCGATGAATGCCTTGCGGGTATCCGAGCCTCTAAAGCTCAAGAACACATCATATTGACCGCTACCTACATCTGTGGGTACCGGAGAGATGAACGAAGAAGTGGATGCTCCCTCTATACTCTTTCCCCCTGCTCTCTTTCTGTTTCCATTTCCATGACTTTGCTCTTTGTCCATGGTGATCTGAGAGGGGAAAGTTGAAACGAAAGATTTTTTTTCTACAAATGCTTGTTGGCTTGGTCCACTCCGGACAACGTGGACGTCAATTTCTCCCCTAGGCAATGCTAAAGAAGGTTCGTGTTCTTGAGAAAGGCAATAACGACACAGCCTTCAATTGAGTTAGCCGACGTCGTTTCAGTGAGAAAGATTAGGTGGTCCTGAAGAGGCCCCCAAAAAGCTCACATCATTTACTTCTTCGGAAACACATATTTGAAATTAAACAGATTGAAGTGTAATTTATCGCCTCCCTTAAAACACATTTGAACAACTACATAACTTCACGCACATCTATGATATTCGGATTCTTTTAGTTCCCACCTAAGATATTGAAATTATGTAGAAAACTCCATGGATGCATCTTCCTCTGAATATAAGCTCACACGATGCCTAATCCTCATCATAATCTTTGACCTTACTCTTATTATTTTTAGCCTAATATATAAACAACCCTAACTATCTCCACCACCTCATTTTCACAACCCCTTCTGTCTAATCCCATTCCCATTGGCCAAACTAATGTAGTGTCATGTAATTGTTGCCCAAAAAAACTCATCCTCTAGATGCGTGCACTTTCCTAATTGGAGGAAATTTCCATCAATCACGTTTTTAATTTGGCGGGTTTCAAGTTTTAGGCATCACTCATATGTAAAATTAACTAAAGCTAAAATATTAATGAAGAAAAAAATTTCAATTGCCCAGCTGTTTGAATTATGAAGGTAGTCGATGAAAATGATTCTAAATGAAAGGGAAATACTTCCTTTTGAGCTCCCATTTCATTTCTTTCTAAAAGTGCATAGAAATGATAGGAAATGCTAAAATTGCACTTTTCTTCCAAAATTGGCCTTACTTCCTTTTTTAAGGATGAATAGATTGAAGGATAATTAAGTCTATCAATGAAATTAAGTTCCATTTACATCATTTCCACCCAACATGTATCCAAGCATATTTCGAGGAATTTTAACTTTCCCTCTCTTCTTTCATGGTCCGGTTGTTTTTTTGTTCTTAATTTTTAGATTTTGACATTTATGGCTTTAGCATGTTCGAAATTTGGGGCTTTTTGTGTGATAAGATTTTATGGCTCTTAAATAGGATTAGTATTAATACCAAAGGCTACGTCTCACTTGTAATCAGAATATCATGGGAAGCAATTTTGCTCTTACCTTTAGATGCAATGCAATGTGTTGCATCTTTTTTGCATGCATACATGTTAGCATATTGCATGGTGTCGTGTCGACATTGCATACGGTGACACGTTTAATAATCGCATTTGTCATGTTGTGTCGTCTGACCTGATTTATTAAAAGTGTTGTGTTCGTATTGTGGCAGTTCAACGCATTTACTAAACACATCTTGTTTGGGTTTTGCCATGGCAATTCAACGCGTTTACTTTTAGAAGGAAGCAATGATATTTAGAGGTAGCGTCCAAAAGACTTTTGAATTATAAATTCATGACACATAGAAACCTTCATGAACACGTATTAAAAGTAAAAAAGGGAATGAAGTGTTATCAATTTTCCTCTTTCTCTTACTCTTACTTTGCCCTTTGTGCATGGCAATTTGAGGGTGAAAGTTGGAACGAAAGATGCTTTTCTGCTGAATAAAAGGATCGATGAACCAATCTCTACGAACAAGTTTTTGAACATGAAATCTTTAATTAATTGGTAATTGATTGACTAGGAGCAATTGCAGCGGCTTTTAGTCCTCGCCTTATTTTCTTTGGGACCTCACCCTATTCAAGTCAAACTTGTTGGCTTGATTCACTCACGAGTAACATGTACATTAATTTTTCGATTGGGCTATGAAGAACTAGAATCTGTGTACAAGTATATTGCATTCACTTAAAAATATAAGCATGAGTTCGGTTTTTAATTGGTTATTGAAAATCAGAATTTGATAAATCATTCAAAAGATAATAACTGAGTTGAGACGGTATTAGAAATGTGTGAAAGACGTCAAGAAAGAACCGAGCTAGTGACTTTAAATATGATTTTATATTTTACTCTTGTTTAAAATTGTCATATTCCTAATGAAGTTGGAAATGTGAGGTAGAGATAAACAAATGCCCGTGGTTATTTATCTTTTATCTATTCCACGCCGGCACCACATGCTGCAATTCCATGTAAAATGAATTTATTTTGAACTGGTATGTTATCACCAAGCCTTTCGTTTCAAATTTTCAAATCTAAAAAGTTGATTGATATCTTGTCTGTAAAACAGAGCTATAATCTATTAGATGGCATCAAACGGAGTGCTCTCTTTTTATGCACTCTTTTTCTTCTTATTGAGATTATTGAATGCGAGCGCAGAGACGCAAGAAGAACCGCAGAGGAACGACCTGAAATGAAACGGTGCATCTCTTTGTTTGCCTTGCTCTGATTTTGCCCTTTCTCCATGTTAGTCTGAATGATTAAAAATTAGGTATCGATTCGATGGAAGAAGGAGAAGAAGAGAAGAAAGGAAGTAGAAGGAAGCTGCTGAGGAAAATTCAGAGACCACCAAGGTTTGAAACAATGGCGTTGAGTGCTTGAGAATATCACCACAAAGATTTTTTATCCAATTAAATGGAAGTAGAATAGGATTATCGGCTAAATTTGTGATAAGTCAGGTTAAATTGATTAATCACATTTTGAAGAACGAATTTATTGTTCGTAACAAAAGAGGTGTAAGAAATGAGTGATATAAAGCTAGGTGAATCTCCTAATATGCGCGTATGGATTGATTTATTTGATTGTTTTCATGTGTGTGTCATAAGATCAACTAGGGTTTTTTGCTTGCTATTGGATATCATGTAAAAAGTCTTAAGAAGTATCATACTATGGATTGTGGTATGTTTTATATTGTGATGATTGAAACTATCATGAGTTGAGAGCAGGTAAAAAGTAGCAATATAGTTAAATTGCTCAAATATTCACCGTACTTTTTTTATTCCTCATTTATTTTTCTTTTTTTTTTTCAAGTAAAGACACGGTCAATTTTAAATCTTTGAAAGGAGAAAATGAGTTAGAGGTGAAAGGGAATATACTTTCTAGGATTAATGGTCCAACAATTCGAGGAAAACAGAATATTACTCATTTGAAATGTTATATAGGGAGGAAAAATTGTCAAATGAAATCTCCTTAAGAGAAGACTTACTCTTAGGATAATCGGTTTCGAGATGAGTAGGCTATAACCTAAAGAATCAGGAACTTATTATGTAATAATCAGTTCTCCATTTTTGTAAACGAGAACCAAACTAATTGACCCTGGAACCAGCCTACTTTTATTTTTCTGATTTATTTTTCTATAAATTGAACTAGGACCTTCAAACATAGAGAAACCTCACAACGCATAAAAGAAATGGTCTCCGGATTCAAGCGAAATTTGGCAATTTCGCGCACGAGAGTCTAGCTCGCTTGCAGACCTACTCATTCGAGTTCAACAAAAGATCAATACCGAATTACAATGCAACTAACAATCAAACAGCGAAGGCCATCATAGGATTAGCCACACCTAAAGTCGAAAACAAAGGCTTTCCTATTTTTCATCGAAGTCAAATCTGAGCCGGGGACATACCTCGTTAACCGGTAACAATAGCTGACTCCAAAGGAGAGAATAGAACACCCTCCTCTGGTATATTCAGCAGCCACCCCCACATCCCCAATAGACAAAAAGGGCCCCAGAAACACACTTAGTTCAGCCGATTTTTCCAATAACCAAAGCGAAAGAATCTACATAGAAACGACACGCTAATAAGAGATGGAAAAGCGATTACCTTACACGAGCTGAGATGTGAAGAGAGGCGTGAGATCGGGGAGAGGAGACCCTGAACAGGCCTGGGCGAGAACTTTCAAGAGGGCAAAGAACAGAGAAAGCGAGTGAGGACTAATCAGTAGACGATAGTCTCGAATTGTTCTGCAAGAGAGAGGCCGAATGCGAAAGATATAGTGAGAAGAGAGAGAGAGAGAGAGAGAGAGAGAGGACCAATCAGTAGTAATTGAAGTGTTTTCAGATGGCAAGCCAAAGTCAAGCTACACAGTGTGGACCAGAGTACGGAATGACCACTTCTGTTCATATCCACACTTTAAAAACCATTTTGTTAAACAGATAAATGTGGCTCTAACCGGCTTGTAAATCTTCCATTATATCCTTGTCAAAGACGTTCTTACTTCCCGTAAATGCTACATTCTCCTCCCCTGCCCTAAACATGCATAAATCATATTGTCTAATCCGTCGTAGGTCAATAACTTTCCACGCTGTATATACACGTAAAAGTCATCTCTTTGCCATAAGCAGTAAAATCACGTGAAAACCACACTTTGTGACGATTTTTTCTAATTCAATCCGCAAAAAATAAAGTTCACCTACAAATTGTCCACATATTAAATGTGTAAATGCCTTGAAACCAACAGCTTTGCTCACTTTCAAGTTGTCCATTGTAACCGGCATAAAAAAAAGGGTAAAATTGTGAATTTTTCATAATTTCTGGAAAAATATCTGAATTTTCTGTCATTTTCCAGAAATTACGAAAATTGCCAATATAATGGACAATGTTTTTATGGATATCCAAAAATTCTCTAGTCAATCAGATCTATTCGGATAAATTTTTGTTGTTGACAATTCTGATCCGCAACTTTTGAAAGGCTTTGTGCGATTATTGAAGAGAATAGACCAGCATGATCGATATGTGGAAAAATCTGGTTTTTAATTGTTTTCAAGAAGAAAAAAAGAATTTATGCAAAACCCGAGTATTTTGGATGTTTTAGGTTTAAGTAAGTTTGGAGAATTGGGGTACATATGGGGCCGATGGACCCAAAATCGGGTCTAGAAGGGTGTTTTCATAATTTTAATCGAATAGGCTTTTTGTCATAAGAGAGTTCAGTCAACCATTAATGCTTTGAAAACAACAACGGGACAAGGGCTAGCAAGCGATTCCACCAAATTCAACCAGTCTAACTATTCATAACCGATTAGCTTAAACGAGAAGATTGTAGTAAGAAAAAATAGCAATATATGTGGTGATGATTTTGAAAAAATCGAGGGAATATCACATGTAATATTCTGAATGCCTTAAAGGATGTTAGGTATTATGCGATGAGTAATAATCAAATGTATTTTTGTCCTATCAATGGCAATAGACTGGAGAATGAAGGTCGGGCTTACCTCGAGGAGCGATGCAGAGATGAAATTACTGCGATGGGTTTCAGTGTTTGAGAACAAGTTGCCTTGAAGCAGATCAAGTTGTGTCCGAGTCCCGAAAGGCAGTGCAATCCAAGGATATCACCTTCACGCCTTAGCCCGGAGCTGTCAAAACCAGATATATCTCGGAACAAAACCGATCTCTCAGTGATTTGTGGTGATTGGCGTTTCTCCTCTTCAAGCACAAGTACAAGCACTGGGGACTTTAAATAGAGCTTTACTTCTTCTCTTGCCCCAAAGGAGACGCGCAAATCTTGTGGTGGTGGATGGCGTTTCTTAGACGAGGCAATCGTACTTCTTTTGATTCTGAACTTTTTGACCAAGACCACCAAAACAATCCCTTCCTCGAAATTGGCAAGACGACCCCCCCTGTAGACTTTACTTGGCAACTTTTGCAAGGTGTTCATATTGGGAATTACTTCTTCTCGTGCCTCAAAAGACGAGCTGGATGCACTTGGGATACACACAATCCTACCGTGGATTTGCGCGTCTTTGATAAGGAAATTTACCTCTTTGACCGGCTAACCCTCACCTTTTGTTAGGTCTCTTTGTAATGTGATCACATGGCCGCACAAATCGAAGTGAAGATGTACAACATTTTGCTTTCCCTTCCAGTTGAAATGAAAGCCTCTCACCACTAGAGGCGTTAAAATGGTCAAAAATCTACTTTTTCACTCATATTTAGTGACCTCGATCATATATGGATTAGCTAAAATTTAAAGAACAAGTTGTTATGAATTTAAAGTAATAAAATCTAATTCAATATATATTTTAATGAGCCTGAATCATGTCTATATGTAATTTATGTTAATCGAAAAAGAGAAATTAGTAATGATTTTTCATTTGCTTTCATGCGGCTCCTTCTTAGTTGGCCCCATGCTTGAGTGTGGTACACTGGCACGTGGAGTCCACTATTTGTGATGCAACAGCTGCACGAGCTTTTTCTTCACTTGCCTATTGCTTTGACGAATAATCGAGTGACACGTTATTCGTTTCCTACTCATTACATATTGCTAGATCTAGTGGGACTCATGTGAAACTTATATGGGTCCTATCATTTTTAATTTTCCAAACATGTTCTTTCTCACGATATCAATTAGCTCAACGTCCAGATGACGACATCAATTTCGGTCAATTCAGCCAAACCTTCTTCATACACTTGAAGATGTAAGGAATTAGAACGTCTCCGTCAGCAATTTTTTGCCAAAATTGGCCCGATAAGCTACATTGGCATGTTATCAAAAAGTTGAGTACTAAATTGATCAAATTAAAAGGTTTAAGACTAAATTGACATAAGTGTAATAGGTTTAAGACTTTTTTTTTATAATTTTCTCCCATTAAATCACATGGAAACTACACTTAATAACGAGTTTCTCTAATCCAATCCACCGAGATAAGGTCCTCCTAGAAATTTCCTGCACATTAAACTATTTTAGAATGAAAGAAGGTCACCTTCCTCCCACGAAGTTCATGATGGGTTCTAGAAACGAAATAATACATTGGGGACCATATCATGGTTAGAATCGTATACAATAGTGCATTTTAATTTAATCTTTAAAATTGATTTGTGGAAGAAGAATTTTAACCAAACTAAATTAGTGGAAGACTGGAGGGACATTGTTGTTATTCACAACTAATGATAGATTTCAACTGCAATTGTCAAATATAGTAATAAACACACAAAAAGGAAATGAATAAACCCAAAATCGCGTGCCACTAAAAGTCAAGAATGGTGGGTGCCCTCTTATTTTAAAAGGGTCTCATGCAATCATACAAACCATTCGACGATTACCCTTTATTGTGATGGGATTTAATTAATTAGTAATTGAGGGACGAGGAGCAGTTGCAGATGCTTTTAGTCCTCGCCTTTATCTTCTTTGAGACCTCACCCTCCAGTCAAGTCAAAGTTGTCGGCTTGGTCCACTCACTCACGATTAACGTATACATTAATTTCTTAATTAGGCTATAAAAGAATTAGAATCTGTTTTCAAACATATTCTATTCGTTTAAAAATATAAGCATAAATTCGGTTGTTATTTGGTTATTGAAGATCAGAATTTCATAAATCATATTGAGTTACAACGGATTTGGAAATGGAAGGAAGACGTGAAGAAAGGACCTTGTGAGTACCTAACCTGAGCCTCTAAAGCTCAATAATACATCATAAGGATCACTTTCCCGCTCCCGTTGGTGTTGGATAGATGAATGAGTGTGTAGATGCTCCGTTAGTGCTCTTATTTTCTGCATTTGTATCGCTTCCACTCTTTTCAGTCTCCTTGAGAAGATTACAAGCAAACCCAGAAAGAAAAATTGATGCAACAAGCACCACAGAAGAACGCCGTAAAATGAACTGATGCATTCCTTTGTTTGATTTGCTCTGGCTCTTTCCTTTATTTGAAATACTCTGGCTCAACTCGACTACTTGTGAAGAAAAGCCATGAAATTGATACGTATGCGGTAACTTACTGTGTAGAAAATTAGTAGGTAATTTACGAAAACCAAATAAGAATCACCATTAATTAGACAGGATCCGGTCTCATTTTCCCTTCTCATCTAGTTGTTGTCGATTGTTTGACCGATCCTTGCCAATCTTTAGGTGGCTCTGAGTTGCGAAGAACATATGGAGGAATTTGTTCTAGTCAAAGTATTACGTCATAGCTTTCTTTCTTTACTTTTTAATCTCTGTATAGTCGTGGTCTATGCTTAGCATTTGTGATTTTTCACATGAAGTAATAGCTGGGCGATCAGCTTATGTGATTGCACCACCAAATTTGTTGAGAAATCTGTTACTTTTGAGGTTGTCATAGTAAGTTCTATAGGTCATATGATTTGTAATATTCCCTAAAATATAGTAATCTGCCAAAGTTTTGGGTAAATTTCTTTTTTTATGGTTAGTAATTACCGGATGGATCGTAACTGTCCTTTGGCGACGTAATTGTCCTCGTTAATAATAATTTTACCTGTAAAACATCCTTTCATAGGTTTTCTTTGGAGGGTGCACTTTTTCTTTGGAGGTCATAAATTCTCTGAAATCTATGTTTGGTAAAATTCCAAAAGAATAATATTTATTCAGTTAATAGTAATTTTCTTTTGTGTATTTTTACTGAAATATGTAAATTGATCGTAACTCTTTTGTACTCTGTAAAGTTTTGAGACCTATGTCTTGATAATTTTCATTACTCATAGTAACTTTTCTCAATTAAATGATAATTTGATCCCGTTTATATCCGTAACTTTCTTTTGAAGTTCAGAAGTGATGACAGAAAATCGATCTCTTTTTATCCAACGATCCACATTGAATGTAGGACCAATCCCATAAAAGAGAGCTTTGACTAATGAAATTTTCATCATGATTAGGACGTTTTGGTTATAATAAGGTAGTTTTTTTTATTTTTTGCCAAACAGTAAAGTAATGTTGGAAATGCTATTTTTCCAAAAATTTGTAAATCGTTCCATTGAAATATATATATAAAGGTAAAAATGTAACTAAGAAACTATATTACTTTGTCAATATTTTCTTTTGCTGACACACGGCAACAGATAAAAGAAATTTTGAGATACTTCTCATAGTCTTATGTATGCGAAGAAGCCTTTACCCATATTCCTTATCTACCAAGTTCAAGAATGATTCAAGCACTCCGAGCGACACGCGTCGCCCAGTGAATGGACTAGAATTTTGCTGAGTTGGCAGAGTGATACCCAATATTTTCTCATCGCTAGGACAGTTTTTCAAAAAGAGCACTTCGAGCACGCACTCTGGAGACTAGCGATTGATTCGATTCCAACTCGTGCATCATCAATCAATCGAATCGCTCGAACAGGTTGAACTTCCATGGAGGATCGGGGGTTGGAGGTAGAGAGAGATCGGTTGCTGAGCTTGGCTCTAAAGTTCGGCTTCGATGAGCTATTATTTACAAACTTGAGAAGTAATGCTTTGGTATAGATGGAGAACTTTACTATTAGGTCTATCTCTATTTTGGTAATATGAGCTATCCATTGAAAAAATACGCATTGTTGACATTTTAACGAGAGATTCTTTAGGAAAAATTCAAATGTGTTAGTAATCTAAATGGCCGACATCTAGTGATGTAGGGGAAAAAAATTCAAGGTCATGAGTCTATTAAAAGTCAGATATCAAATGCTATTTATTTTGTGAAATACATCATCTTACGAAAATGAGAAAAACAAAACAAAAAAATTTCTAAGATGATATATGTTAGTGATTAAAAAGAATCAACTTTGATTTTCTTAAAATGTTAGGATCATCGTTTTGCTAGTCTCTGCAAGGAAATGGGTAAATCTTTGGGCCAATCGCACTATCACAAGAATGGATAATGTCATTCTTGATTCCAAGATTCAAGAGGGCAAACTTACGCTTATTGGTGTCAAGGCTATTGTTTTACATAAGTTTGAACTTTTTCGCGAAATACTTGCAAATAAACTTTGGCAGATGCAAAAATAGTTTATGAAGGACGGATGCTTCTATCAAACGGATAAAGTAACAAGATCAAAGAGTAGACGAATATGCAAACAGGTTCAGTTTATATCAAACTTACATTCACTTTTACATACTAACAACCACCAACAAGGCTTTAAACAGTGAGAATCAAATGCAAGTAGAAACATATTATGAACACAAGAGAGATCTAGATAATTTAAAGAGTTGAAGCTTTCTCAATTTCCGCCAGGTCTATCAGCATCTGGTGAATCCTTTATGGTATCTCACACATGATAGGTCCACTTTGTAAAAAATAGGCAAGATTAAATGTCTTGTGCTTTTCTTGTGGTCCATGAGTTGAATGAGCTTGAGAATGCATCATTTGCTAGAAGCATAATTTCTAGATATTATAAGCACGAAAACTTTAGACCATGTGATCACATCAAGGAGCCATGAACCAACCCCTTGCCAACAGGGAGACTGTTATCATCCCTGAACACAAACATAGGGACGGTTCCGACATTCATGAAATTGTGGTAGAGGTGATCGGTGAAACCTTAGTGAGAATCTAAGCCTCTAAAGCTCAAGAATACATCATGGGGATCACTTTCCCGCTCCTGCTAGTGTTGGAGAGATGAGCGAAGACATAGATGCTCCATCAGTGCTCTCATTTCTGAATTTGTACTGCTTCCACTCTTTTTCCTTTTCTTGAGAAGATTACAAGCAAACACAAAAAGAAGAATTGGGGCACCAAGCACCACAGAAGAATGCCCTAAAATGAACTGATGCATTCTTTTGTTTGCTTTACTCTGGTTCTTTCCTTTGTTTGAAATACTCGGGCTCAACTTGACTCAATCCCCCATAACTAGAGTCAAGCTCAACTTCAGAAGGAACGGATTTTTCAAGAAACGGTACGCTAAAACACGAGGGCTCCCATAACTGGCTGTTATGTTGGAGTAAGCAAATTTGGCAGTAAAATCGCATTTGATTTTCCAG